CTAGATTCTATCCCTTCTCCCCGATTCCATCACCTTCTCCCTGATTCCATCCCCTTCTCCCAGATTCCATCCCCTTCTCCCAGATTCCATCCCCTTCTCCCAGATTCCATCCCCTTCTCCCAGATCCCATCCCCTTCTCCCACATTCCATCCCTTCTACCTGATTCCATACCCGTCTCCCAGATTCCATCCCCTTGTCCCAAATTCCATCCCCTTCTCCCATATTCCATCCCCTTCTCCCAGATTCCATCCCCTTCTCCCTTATTCCATCCCCTTCTCCTAGATTCCATCCCCTTCTCCCAGATTCCATCCCCTTCTCCCAGATTCCATCCCCTTCTCCCAGATTCCATCCCCTTCTCCCAGATTCCATCCCCTTCTCTCAGATTCCATCCTCTTCTCCCAGATTCCATCCCCTTCTCCCATATTCCTTCCCCTTCTCCTGATTCCATCCCCTTCTCCCAGATTCCATCCCCTTCTCCCACATTCCATCCCTTCTACCTGATTCCATACCCTTCTCCCAGATTCCATCCCCTTGTCCCAAATTCCATCCCCTTCTCCCATATTCCATCCCCTTCTCCCAGATTCCATCCCCTTCTCCGTGATTCCATCCCCTTCTCCCAGATTCCATCCCCTTCTCCCACATTCCATCCCCTTCTCCCAGATTCCATCCCCTTCTCCCAGATTCCATCCCCTTCTCCCAGATTCCATCCCCTTCTCCCAAATTCCATCCCCTTCTCCCAGATTCCATCCCCTTCTCCCTGATTCCATCCCTTTCTCCCAGATTCCATCCCCTTCTCCCAGATTCCATCCCCTTCTCCCAGATTCCATCCCCTTCTCCCAGATTCCATCCCCTTCTCCCAGATTCCATCCCCTTCTCCCAAATTCCATCCCCTTCTCCCAGATTCCATCCCCTTCTCCGAGATTCCATCCCCTTCTCCTAGATTCTATCCCTTCTCCCCGATTCCATCACCTTCTCCCTGATTCCATCCCCTTCTCCCAGATTCCATCCCCTTCTCCCAGATTCCATCCCCTTCTCCCAGATTCCATCCCCTTCTCCCTGATTCCATCCCCTTCTCCCAGATTTCATCCCCTTCTCCCAGATTCCATCCCCTTCTCCGAGATTCCATCCCCTTCTCCCAAATTCCATCCCCTTCTCCCAGATTCCATCCCCTTCTCCGAGATTCCATCCCCTTCTCCTAGATTCTATCCCTTCTCCCCGATTCCATCACCTTCTCCCTGATTCCATCCCCTTCTCCCAGATTCCATCCCCTTCTCCCAGATTCCATCCCCTTCTCCCAGATTCCATCCCCTTCTCCCTGATCCCATCCCCTTCTCCCACATTCCATCCCTTCTACCTGATTCCATACCCTTCTCCCAGATTCCATCCCCTTGTCCCAAATTCCATCCCCTTCTCCCATATTCCATCCCCTTCTCCCAGATTCCATCCCCTTCTCCCAGATTCCATCCCCTTCTCCCAGATTCCATTCCCTTCTCCCAGATTCCATCCCCTTCTCCCAGATTCCATCCCCTTCTCCGAGATTCCATCCCCTTCTCCCAGATTCCATCCCCTTCTCCCAGATTCCATCCCCTTCTCCCCGATTCCATTCCCTTCTCCCAGATTCCATCTCCTTCTCCCAAATCCATCCCATTCTCCCAAATTCCATTCCCTTCTCTTTGATTCCATCCCCTTCTCCCCGATTCCATCCCCTTCTCTCTGACTGAATCCCCTTCTCCCAGATTCCATCCCCTTCTCCTAAATTCCATCCCCTTCTCCCAGATTCCATCCCCTTCTCCCTGATTCCATCCCTTTCTCCCAGATTCCATCCCCTTCTCCCAGATTCCATCCCCTTCTCCCAGATTCCATCCCCTTCTCCCAGATTCCATCCCCTTCTCCCAAATTCCATCCCCTTCTCCCAAATTCCATCCCCTTCTCCCAGATTCCATCCCCTTCTCCGAGATTCCATCCCCTTCTCCTAGATTCTATCCCTTCTCCCCGATTCCATCACCTTCTCCCTGATTCCATCCCCTTCTCCCAGATTCCATCCCCTTCTGCCAGATTCCATCCCCTTCTCCCAGATTCCATCCACTTCTCCCAGATTCCATCCCCTTCTCCTTGATTCCATCCCCTTCTCTCAGATTCCATCCCCTTCTCCCAGATTCCATCCCCTTCTCCCAGATTCCATCCCCTTCTCCCAGATTCCATCCCCTTCTCCCAGATTCCATTCCCTTCTCCCAGATTCCATCTCCTTCTCCCAAATCCATCCCATTCTCCCAAATTCCATCCCCTTCTCTTTGATTCCATCCCCTTCTCCCCGATTCCATCCCCTTCTCTCTGACTGCATCCCCTTCTCCTAGATTCCATCCCCTTCTCCTAAATTCCATCCCCTTCTCCCAGATTCCATCCCCTTCTCCCTGATTCCATCCCTTTCTCCCAGATTCCATCCCCTTCTCCCTTATTCCATTCCCATTCTCCCAGATTCCATCCCCTTCTCCCAGATTCCATCCTCTTCTCCCAGATTCCATCCCCTTCTCCCTGATTCCATCCCCTTCTCCCTGATTCCATCCCCTTCTCCCAGATTCCATCCCCTTCTCCCAGATTCCATCCCCTTCTCCCAGATTCCATCCCCTTCTCCCAGATTCCATCCCCTTCTCCCTCATTCCATCCCCTTCTCCCAGATTCCATCCCCTTCTCCAAGATTCCATCCCCTTCTCCCAGATTCCATCCCCTTCTCCCAGATTCCATCCCCTTCTCCCAGATTCCATCCTCTTCTCCCAGATTCCATCCCCTTCTCCCAAATTCCATCCCCTTCTCCCAGATTCCATCCCCTTCTCCGAGATTCCATCCCCTTCTCCCAGATTCTATCCCTTCTCCCCGATTCCATCACCTTGTCCCTGATTCCATCCCCTTCTCCCAGATTCCATCCCCTTCTCCCAAATTCCATCCCCTTCTCCCAGATTCCATCCCCTTCTCCCAGATTCCATCCCCTTCTCCCTGATTCCATCCCCTTCTCCCAGATTCCATCCCCTTCTCCCAGATTCCATTCCCTTCTCCCAGATTCCATCTCCTTCTCCCAAATCCATCCCATTCCCCCAAATTCCATCCCCTTCTCTTTGATTCCATCCCCTTCTCCCCGATTCCATCCCCTTCTCTCTGACTGCATCCCCTTCTCCCAGATTCCATCCCGTTCTCCTAAATTCCATCCCCTTCTCCAAGATTCCATCCCCTTCTCCCTGATTCCATCCCTTTCTCCCCGATTCCATCCCCTTCTCCCTAATTCCATTCCCATTCTCCCAGATTCCATCCCCTTCTCCCAGATTCCATCCTCTTCTCCCAGATTCCATCCCCTTCTCCCGTATTCCATCCCCTTCTCCCAGATTCCATCCCCTTCTCCGAGATTCCATCCCCTTCTCCTAGATTCTATCCCTTCTCCCCGATTCCATCACCTTCTCCCTGATTCCATCCCCTTCTCCCAGATTCCATCCCCTTCTCCCAGATTCCATCCCCTTCTCCCAGATTCCATCCCCTTCTCCCAGATCCCATCCCCTTCTCCCACATTCCATCCCTTCTACCTGATTCCATACCCTTCTCCCAGATTCCATCCCCTTGTCCCAAATTCCATCCCCTTCTCCCATATTCCATCCCCTTCTCCCAGATTCCATCCCCTTCTCCCAGATTCCATCCCCTTCTCCCAGATTCCATTCCCTTCTCCCAGATTCCATCCCCTTCTCCCAGATTCCATCCCCTTCTCCCAGATTCCATCCCCTTCTCCCAGATTCCATTCCCTTCTCCCAGATTCCATCTCCTTCTCCCAAATCCATCCCATTCTCCCAAATTCCATCCCCTTCTCTTTGATTCCATCCCCTTCTCCCCGATTCCATCCCCTTCTCTCTGACTGCATCCCCTTCTCCTAGATTCCATCCCCTTCTCCTAAATTCCATCCCCTTCTCCCAGATTCCATCCCCTTCTCCCTGATTCCATCCCTTTCTCCCAGATTCCATCCCCTTCTCCCTTATTCCATTCCCATTCTCCCAGATTCCATCCCCTTCTCCCAGATTCCATCCTCTTCTCCCAGATTCCATCCCCTTCTCCCTGATTCCATCCCCTTCTCCCTGATTCCATCCCCTTCTCCCAGATTCCATCCCCTTCTCCCAGATTCCATCCCCTTCTCCCAGATTCCATCCCCTTCTCCCAGATTCCATCCCCTTCTCCCTCATTCCATCCCCTTCTCCCAGATTCCATCCCCTTCTCCCAGATTCCATCCCCTTCTCCCAGATTCCATCCCCTTCTCCCAGATTCCATCCCCTTCTCCCAGATTCCATCCTCTTCTCCCAGATTCCATCCCCTTCTCCCAAATTCCATCCCCTTCTCCCAGATTCCATCCCCTTCTCCGAGATTCCATCCCCTTCTCCCAGATTCTATCCCTTCTCCCCAATTCCATCACCTTGTCCCTGATTCCATCCCCTTCTCCCAGATTCCATCCCCTTCTCCCAAATTCCATCCCCTTCTCCCAGATTCCATCCCCTTCTCCCAGATTCCATCCCCTTCTCCCTGATTCCATCCCCTTCTCCCAGATTCCATCCCCTTCTCCTAGATTCCATTCCCTTCTCCCAGATTCCATCTCCTTCTCCCAAATCCATCCCATTCTCCCAAATTCCATCCCCTTCTCTTTGATTCCATCCCCTTCTCCCCGATTCCATCCCCTTCTCTCTGACTGCATCCCCTTCTCCCAGATTCCATCCCGTTCTCCTAAATTCCATCCCCTTCTCCAAGATTCCATCCCCTTCTCCCTGATTCCATCCCTTTCTCCCAGATTCCATCCCCTTCTCCCTAATTCCATTCCCATTCTCCCAGATTCCATCCCCTTCTCCCAGATTCCATCCCCTTCTCCCAGATTCCATTCCCTTCTCCCAGATTCCATCTCCTTCTCCCAAATCCAACCCATTCTCCCAAATTCCATCCCCTTCTCTTTGATTCCATCCCCTTCTCCCCGATTCCATCCCCTACTCTCTCACTGCATCCCCTTCTCCCAGATTCCATCCCCTTCTCCTAAATTCCATCCCCTTCTCCCAGATTCCATCCCCTTCTCCCTGATTCCATCCCTTTCTCCCAGATTCCATCCCCTTCTCCCTAATTCCATTCCCATTCTCCCAGATTCCAACCCCCTTCTCCCAGACTCCATCCTCTTCTCCCAGATTCCATCCCCTTCTCCCATATTCCATCCCCTTCTCCCAGATTCCATCCCCTTCTCCCAGATTCCATCCCCTTCTCCCACATTCCATCCTTTCTCCCTGATTCCATACCCTTCTCCCAAATTCCATCCCCTTGTCCCTAATTCCATCCCCTTCTCCCAGATTCCATCCCCTTCTCCCAGAGTCCATCCCCTTCTCCCTGATTCCATCTCCTTCTCCCAGATTCCATCCCCTTCTCCCAGATTCCATCCCCTTCTCCCAGATTCCATCCCCTTCTCCCAGATTCCATCCCCTTCTCCCAGATTCCATCCCCTTCTCCCAGATTCCATCCCCTTCTCTCAGATTCCATCCCCTTCTCCCAGATTCCATCCCCTTCTCCCAGATTCCATCCCCTTCTCCCAAATTCCATCCCCTTCTCCCAGATTCCATCCCCTTCTCCCAGATTCCATCCCCTTCTCCCAGATTCCATCCCCTTCTCCCAAATTCCATCCCCTTCTCCCAGATTCCATCCCCTTCTCCCAGATTCCATCCCCTTCTCCCAGATTCCATCCCCTTCTCCCTGATTCCATCCCCTTCTCCCAGATTCCATCCCCTTCTCCCAGATTCCATCCCCTTCTCCCAGATTCCATCCCCTTCTCCCAGATTCCATCCCCTTCTCCCAGATTCCATCCCCTTCTCCTAGATTCTATCCCTTCTCCCCGATTCCATCACCTTCTCCCTGATTCCATCCCCTTCTCCCAGATTCCATCCCCTTCTCCCAGATTCCATCCCCTTCTCCCAGATTCCATCCCCTTCTCCCAGATTCCATCCCCTTCTCCCAGATTCCATCCCCTTCTCCCAGATTCCATCCCCTTCTCCCAGATTCCATCTCCTTCTCCCAGATTCCATCCCCTTTCCCCAGATTCCATCCCCTTCTCCCAGATTCCATCCCCTTCTTCCAGATTCCATCCCCTTCTCCCACATTCCATCCCCTTCTCTCGGATTCCTTCCCCTTCTCCCAGATTCCACCCGTTCTCCCAGAATCAATCCCCTTCTCCCAAATTCCATCTCCTTCTCCCAGATTCCATCCCCTTCTCCCAGATTCCATCCCCTTCTCCCAGATTCCATCCCCTTCTCCCAGATTCCATCCCCTTCTCCCCGATTCCATCCCCTTCTCTCTGACTGCATCCCCTTCTCCCAGATTCCATCCCCTTCTCCTAAATTCCATCCCCTTCTCCCAGATTCCATCCCCTTCTCCCTGATTCCATCCCCTTCTCCTAGATTCCATCCCCTTCTCCCAGATTCCATCCCCATCTCCCAAATTCCATCCCCTTCTCCCAGATTCCATCCCCTTCTCCCAGATTCCATCCCCTTCTCCCAGATTCCATCCCCTTCTTCCAGATTCCATCCCCTTCTCCCAGATTACATCCCCTTCTCTCAGATTCAATCCCCTTCTCCCAGATTCCATCCCCTTCTCCCAGATTCCATCCCCTTCTCCCAGATTCCATCCCCTTCTCCCAGATTCTATCCCTTCTTCCCGATTCCATCACCTTCTCCCAGATTCCATCCCCTTCTCCCAGATTCCATCCCCTTTCCCCAGATTCCATCCCCTTCTCCCAGATTCCATCCCCTTCTTCCAGATTCCATCCCCTTCTCCCTGATTCCATGCCCTTCTCCCAGATTCCATCCCCTTCTCCCAGATTCCATCCCCTTCTCCCAGATCCCATCCCCTTCTCCCATATTCCATCCCCTTCTCCCAGATTCCATTCCCTTCTCCCAGATTCCATCTCCTTCTCCCAAATTCCATCCCATTCTCCCAAATTCCATCCCCTTCTCTTTGATTCCATCCCCTTCTCCCCGATTCCATCCCCTTCTCCCTGATTGCATCCCCTTCTCCCAGATTCCATCCCCTTCTCCTAAATTCCATCCCCTTCTCCTAGATTCCATCCCCTTCTCCCCGATTCCATCCCCTTCTCCCAGATTCCATCCCCTTCTCCCAGATTCCATCCCCTTCTCCCTGATTCCATCCCCTTCTACCAGATTCCATCCCCTTCTCCCAGATTCCATCCCCTTCTCCCAGATTCCATCCCCTTCTCCCAGATTCCATCCCCTTCTCCCAGATTCCATCCCCTTCTCCTAGATTCCATTCCCTTCTCCCAGATTCCATCTCCTTCTCCCAAATCCATCCCATTCTCCCAAATTCCATCCCCTTCTCTTTGATTCCATCCCCTTCTCCCCGATTCCATCCCCTTCTCTCTGACTGCATCCCCTTCTCCCAGATTCCATCCCGTTCTCCTAAATTCCATCCCCTTCTCCCAGATTCCATCCCCTTCTCCCTGATTCCATCCCTTTCTCCTAGATTCCATCCCCTTCTCCCAGATTCCATCCCCTTCTCCCAGATTCCATCCCCTTCTCCCAGATTCCATCCCCTTCTCCCAGATTCCGTCCCCTTCTCCCAAATTCCATCCCCTTCTCCTCGATTCCATCCCCTTCTCCGAGATTCCATCCCCTTCTCCCAGATTCTATCCCTTCTCCCCGATTCCATCACCTTGTCCCTGATTCCATCCCCTTCTCCCAGATTCCATCCCCTTCTCTCAGATTCCATCCCCTTCTCCCAGATTCCATCCCCTTCTCCCAGATTCCATCCCCTTCTCCCTGATTCCATCCCCTTCTCTCAGATTCCATCCCCTTCTCCCAGATTCCATCCCCTTCTCCCAGATTCCATCCCCTTCTCCCAGATTCCATCCCCTTCTCCCAGATTCCATTCCCTTCTCCCAGATTCCATCTCCTTCTCCCAAATCCAACCCATTCTCCCAAATTCCATCCCCTTCTCTTTGATTCCATCCCCTTCTCCCCGATTCCATCCCCTACTCTCTCACTGCATCCCCTTCTCCCAGATTCCATCCCCTTCTCCTAAATTCCATCCCCTTCTCCCAGATTCCATCCCCTTCTCCCTGATTCCATCCCTTTCTCCCAGATTCCATCCCCTTCTCCCTAATTCCATTCCCATTCTCCCAGATTCCAACCCCCTTCTCCCAGACTCCATCCTCTTCTCCCAGATTCCATCCCCTTCTCCCATATTCCATCCCCTTCTCCCAGATTCCATCCCCTTCTCCCAGATTCCATCCCCTTCTCCCACATTCCATCCTTTCTCCCTGATTCCATACCCTTCTCCCAAATTCCATCCCCTTGTCCCAAATTCCATCCCCTTCTCCTAGATTCCATCCCCTTCTCCCAGAGTCCATCCCCTTCTCCCTGATTCCATCTCCTTCTCCCAGATTCCATCCCCTTCTCCCAGATTCCATCCCCTTCTCCCAGATTCCATCCCCTTCTCCCAAATTCCATCCCCTTCTCCCAGATTCCATCCCCTTCTCCCAGATTCCATCCCCTTCTCCCAGATTCCATCCCCTTCTCCCTGATTCCATCCCCTTCTCCCAGATTCCATCCCCTTCTCCCAGATTCCATCCCCTTCTCCCAGATTCCATCCCCTTCTCCCAGATTCCATCCCCTTCTCCCAGATTCCATCCCCTTCTCCTAGATTCTATCCCTTCTCCCCGATTCCATCACCTTCTCCCTGATTCCATCCCCTTCTCCCAGATTCCATCCCCTTCTCCCAGATTCCATCCCCTTCTCCCAGATTCCATCCCCTTCTCCCAGATTCCATCCCCTTCTCCCAGATTCCATCCCCTTCTCCCAGATTCCATCCCCTTCTCCCAGATTCCATCCCCTTCTCCCAGATTCCATCCCCTTTCCCCAGATTCCATCCCCTTCTCCCAGATTCCATCCCCTTCTTCCAGATTCCATCCCCTTCTCCCAGATTCCATCCCCTTCTCTCGGATTCCTTCCCCTTCTCCCAGATTCCACCCGTTCTCCCAGAATCAATCCCCTTCTCCCAAATTCCATCCCCTTCTCCCAGATTCCATCCCCTTCTCCCAGATTCCATCCCCTTCTCCCAGATTCCATCCCCTTCTCCCAGATTCCATCCCCTTCTCCCAGATTCCATCCCCTTCTCCCAGATTCCATCCCCTTCTCTCACATTCCATCCTTTCTCCCTGATTCCATACCCTTCTCCCAAATTCCATCCCCTTGTCCCAAATTCCATCCCCTACTCCCAGATTCCATCCCCTTCTCCCTGATTCCATCCCCTTCTCCCAGATTCCATCCCCTTCTCCCAGATTCCATCCCCTTCTCCCAGATTCCATCCCCTTCTCCTAGATTCCATCCCCTTCTCTCACATTCCATCCTTTCTCCCTGATTCCATACCCTTCTCCCAAATTCCATCCCCTTGTCCCAAATTCCATCCCCTACTCCCAGATTCCATCCCCTTCTCCCAGATTCCATCCCCTTTTACCAGATTCCATCCCCTTCTCCCAGATTCCATCCCCTTCTCCCAGATTCCATCCCCTTCTCCCAGATTCCATCCCCTTCTCCCAGATTCCATCCCCTTCTCCCAGATTCCATCCCCTTCTCCCAGATTCCATTCCCTTCTCCCAGATTCCATCTCCTTCTCCCAAATCCATCCCATTCTCCCAAATTCCATCCCCTTCTCTTTGATTCCATCCCCTTCTCCCCGATTCCATCCCCTTCTCTCTGACTGCATCCCCTTCTCCCAGATTCCATCCCCTTCTCCTAAATTCCATCCCCTTCTCCTAGATTCCATCCCCTTCTCCCTGATTCCATCCCCTTCTCCTAGATTCCATCCCCTTCTCCCAGATTCCATCCCCATCTCCCAAATTCCATCCCCTTCTCCCAGATTCCATCCCCTTCTCCCAGATTCCATCCCCTTCTCCCAGATTCCATCCCCTTTTTCCAGATTCCATCCCCTTCTCCTAGATTACATCCCCTTCTCTCAGATTCAATCCCCTGCTCCCAGATTCCATCCCCTTCTCCCAGATTCCATCCCCTTCTCCCAGATTCCATCCCCTTCTCCCAGATTCTATCCCTTCTTCCCGATTCCATCACCTTCTCCCAGATTCCATCCCCTTCTCCCAGATTCCATCCCCTTTCCCCAGATTCCATCCCCTTCTCCCAGATTCCATCCCCTTCTTCCAGATTCCATCCCCTTCTCCCAGATTCCATCCCCTTCTCTCGGATTCCTTCCCCTTCTCCCAGATTCCACCCGTTCTCCCAGAATCAATCCCCTTCTCCCAAATTCCATCCCCTTCTCCCAGATTCCATCCCCTTCTCCCAGATTCCATCCCCTTCTCCCAGATTCCATCCCTTCTCCCCGATTCCATCACCTTCTCCTAGATTCCATCCCCTTCTCCCTGATTCCATCCCCTTCTCCCAGATTCCATCCCCTTCTCCCAGATTCCATCCCCTTCTCCCAGATTCCATCCCCTTCTCCCTGATTCCATCCCCTTCTCCCAGATTCATCCCTCCCAGATTCCATCCCCTTCTCCCAGATTCCATCCCCTTCTCCCAGATTCCATCCCCTTCTCCCAGATTCCATCCCCTTCTCCTAGATTCCATCCCCTTCTCCCAGATTCCATCCCCTTCTCCCAGATTCCATCCCCTTCTTCCAGATTCCATCCCCTTCTCCCAGATTCCATCCCCTTCTCTCGGATTCCTTCCCCTTCTCCCAGATTCCACCCGTTCTCCCAGAATCAATCCCCTTCTCCCAAATTCCATCCCCTTCTCCCAGATTCCATCCCCTTCTCCCAGATTCCATCCCCTTCTCCCAGATTCCATCCCTTCTCCCCGATTCCATCACCTTCTCCTAGATTCCATCCCCTTCTCCCTGATTCCATCCCCTTCTCCCAGATTCCATCCCCTTCTCCCAGATTCCATCCCCTTCTCCCAGATTCCATCCCCTTCTCCCTGATTCCATCCCCTTCTCCCAGATTCCATCCCCTTCTCCCAGATTCCATCCCCTTCTCCCAGATTCCATCCCCTTCTCCCAGATTCCATCCCCTTCTCCCAGATTCCATCCCCTTCTCCTAGATTCCATCCCCTTCTCCCAGATTCCATCCCCTTCTCCCAGATTCCATTCCCTTCTCCCAGATTCCATCTCCTTCTCCCAAATTCCATCCCCTTCTCCCAGATTCCATCCCCTTCTCCCAAATTCCATCCCCTTCTCCCATATTCCATCCCCTTCTCCCAGATTCCATCCCCTTCTCCCAGATTCCCTCCCCTTCTCCCTCATTCCATCCCTTCTCCCTGATTCCATACCCTTCTCCCAGATTCCATCCCCTTGTCCCAAGTTCCATCCCCTTGTCCCAGATTCCATCCCCTTCTCCCAGATTCCATCCCCTTCTCCCAGATTCCATCCCCTTCTCCCAGATTCCATCCCCTTCTCCCAGATTCCATCCCCTTCTCCCAGATTCCATCCCCTTCTCTCACATTCCATCCTTTCTCCCTGATTCCATACCCTTCTCCCAAATTCCATCCCCTTGTCCCAAATTCCATCCCCTACTCCCAGATTCCATCCCCTTCTCCCTGATTCCATCCCTTTCTCCCAGATTCCATCCCCTTCTCCCAGATTCCATCCCCTTCTCCCAGATTCCATCCCCTTCTCCCAGATTCCATCCCCTTCTCTCACATTCCATCCTTTCTCCCTGATTCCATACCCTTCTCCCAAATTCCATCCCCTTGTCCCAAATTCCATCCCCTACTCCCAGATTCCATCCCCTTCTCCCAGATTCCATCCCCTTCTCCCAGATTCCATCCCCTTCTACCAGATTCCATCCCCTTCTCCCAGATTCCATCCCCTTCTCCCAGATTCCATCCCCTTCTCCCAGATTCCATCCCCTTCTCCCAGATTCCATCCCCTTCTCCCAGATTCCATCCCCTTCTCCCAGATTCCATTCCCTTCTCCCAGATTCCATCTCCTTCTCCCAAATCCATCCCATTCTCCCAAATTCCATCCCCTTCTCTTTGATTCCATCCCCTTCTCCCAGATTCCATCCCCTTCTCCTAAATTCCATCCCCTTCTCCCAGATTCCATCCCCTTCTCCCTGATTCCATCCCCTTCTCCTAGATTCCATCCCCTTCTCCCAGATTCCATCCCCATCTCCCAAATTCCATCCCCTTCTCCCAGATTCCATCCCCTTCTCCCAGATTCCATCCCCTTCTCCCAGATTCCATCCCCTTCTTCCAGATTCCATCCCCTTCTCCCAGATTACATCCCCTTCTCTCAGATTCAATCCCCTTCTCCCAGATTCCATCCCCTTCTCCCAGATTCCATCCCCTTCTCCCAGATTCCATCCCCTTCTCCCAGATTCTATCCCTTCTTCCCGATTCCATCACCTTCTCCCAGATTCCATCCCCTTCTCCTAGATTCCATCCCCTTTCCCCAGATTCCATCCCCTTCTCCCAGATTCCATCCCCTTCTTCCAGATTCCATCCCCTTCTCCCTGATTCCATGCCCTTCTCCCAGATTCCATCCCCTTCTCCCAGATTCCATCCCCTTCTCCCAGATTCCATCCCCTTCTCCCATATTCCATCCCCTTCTCCCAGATTCCATTCCCTTCTCCCAGATTCCATCTCCTTCTCCCAAATTCCATCCCATTCTCCCAAATTCCATCCCCTTCTCTTTGATTCCATCCCCTTCTCCCCGATTCCATCCCCTTCTCCCTGATTGCATCCCCTTCTCCCAGATTCCATCCCCTTCTCCTAAATTCCATCCCCTTCTCCTAGATTCCATCCCCTTCTCCCCGATTCCATCCCCTTCTCCCAGATTCCATCCCCTTCTCCCAGATTCCATCCCCTTCTCCCTGATTCCATCCCCTTCTACCAAATTCCATCCCCTTCTCCCAGATTCCATCCCCTTCTCCCAGATTCCATCCCCTTCTCCCAGATTCCATCCCCTTCTCCCAGATTCCATCCCCTTCTCCCAGATTCCATTCCCTTCTCCCAGATTCCATCTCCTTCTCCCAAATCCATCCCATTCTCCCAAATTCCATCCCCTTCTCTTTGATTCCATCCCCTTCTCCCCGATTTCATCCCCTTCTCTCTGACTGCATCCCCTTCTCCCAGATTCCATCCCGTTCTCCCAGATTCCATCCCCTTCTCCCTGATTCCATCCCTTTTTCCTAGATTCCATCCCCTTCTCCCAGATTCCATCCCCTTCTCCCAGATTCCATCCCCTTCTCCCAGATTCCATCCCCTTCTCCCAGATTCCGTCCCCTTCTCCCAAATTCCATCCCCTTCTCCCCGATTCCATCCCCTTCTCCGAGATTCCATCCCCTTCTCCCAGATTCTATCCCTTCTCCCCGATTCCATCACCTTGTCCCTGATTCCATCCCCTTCTCCCAGATTCCATCCCCTTCTCTCAGATTCCATCCCCTTCTCCCAGATTCCATCCCCTTCTCCCAGATTCCATCCCCTTCTCCCTGATTCCATCCCCTTCTCTCAGATTCCATCCCCTTCTCCCAGATTCCATCCCCTTCTCCCAGATTCCATCCCCTTCTCCCAGATTCCATCCCCTTCTCCCAGATTCCATTCCCTTCTCCCAGATTCCATCTCCTTCTCCCAAATCCAACCCATTCTCCCAAATTCCATCCCCTTCTCTTTGATTCCATCCCCTTCTCCCCGATTCCATCCCCTACTCTCTCACTGCATCCCCTTCTCCCAGATTCCATCCCCTTCTCCTAAATTCCATCCCCTTCTCCCAGATTCCATCCCCTTCTCCCTGATTCCATCCCTTTCTCCCAGATTCCATCCCCTTCTCCCTAATTCCATTCCCATTCTCCCAGATTCCAACCCCCTTCTCCCAGACTCCATCCTCTTCTCCCAGATTCCATCCCCTTCTCCCATATTCCATCCCCTTCTCCCAGATTCCATCCCCTTCTCCCAGATTCCATCCCCTTCTCCCAGAGTCCATCCCCTTCTCCCTGATTCCATCTCCTTCTCCCAGATTCCATCCCCTTCTCCCAGATTCCATCCCCTTCTCCCAGATTCCATCCCTTTCTCCCAAATTCCATCCCCTTCTCCCAGATTCCATCCCCTTCTCCCAGATTCCATCCCCTTCTCTCAGATTCCATCCCCTTCTCCCAGATTCCATCCCCTTCTCCCAGATTCCATCCCCTTCTCCCAAATTCCATCCCCTTCTCCCAGATTCCATCCCCTTCTCCCAGATTCCATCCCCTTCTCCCAGATTCCATCCCCTTCTCCCAAATTCCATCCCCTTCTCCCAGATTCCATCCCCTTCTCCCAGATTTCATCCCCTTCTCCCAGATTCCATCCCCTTCTCCCCGATTCCATCCCCTTCTCCCAGATTCCATCCCCTTCTCCCAGATTCCATCCCCTTCTCCCAGATTCCATCCCCTTCTCCCAGATTCCATCCCCTTCTCCCAGATTCCATCCCCTTCTCCTAGATTCTATCCCTTCTCCCCGATTCCATCACCTTCTCCCTGATTCCATCCCCTTCTCCCAGATTCCATCCCCTTCTCCCAGATTCCATCCCCTTCTCCCAGATTCCATCCCCTTCTCCCAGATTCCATCCCCTTCTCCCAGATTCCATCCCCTTCTCCCAGATTCCATCCCCTTCTCCCAGATTCCATCCCCTTCTCCCAGATTCCATCCCCTTCTCCCAGATTCCATCCCCTTCTCCCAGATTCCATCCCCTTCTCCCAGATTCCATTCCCTTCTCCCAGATTCCATCTCCTTATCCCAAATCCATCCCATTCTCCCAAATTCCATCCCCTTCTCTTTGATTCCATCCACTTCTCCCCGATTCCATCCCCTTCTCTCTGACTGCATCCCCTTCTCCCAAATTCCATCCCCTTTTCCTAAATTCCATCCCTTTCTCCCAGATTCCATCCCCTTCTCCCTGATTCCATCCCTTTCTCCCAGATTCCATCCCCTTCTCCCAGATTCCATCCCCTTCTCCCAGATTCCATCCCCTTCTCCCAGATTCCATCCCCTTCTCCCAGATTCCATCCCCTTCTCCCAGATTCCATCCCCTTCTCCTAGATTCCATCCCCTTCTCCCACATTCCATTCCCTTCTCCCAGATTCCATCTCCTTCTCCCAAATCCATCCCATTCTCCCAAATTCCATCCCCTTCTCTTTGATTCCATCCCCTTCTCCCCGATTCCATCCCCTTCTCTCTGACTGCATCCCCTTCTCCCAGATTCCATCCCCTTCTCCCAGATTCTATCCCTTCTTCCCGATTCCATCACCTTCTCCCAGATTCCATCCCCTTCTCCCAGATTCCATCCCCTTTCCCCAGATTCCATCCCCTTCTCCCAGATTCCATCCCCTTCTTCCAGATTCCATCCCCTTCTCCCTGATTCCATGCCCTTCTCCCAGATTCCATCCCCTTCTCCCAGATTCCATCCCCTTCTCCCAGATTCCATCCCCTTCTCCCATATTCCATCCCCTTCTCCCAGATTCCATTCCCTTCTCCCAGATTCCATCTCCTTCTCCCAAATTCCATCCCATTCTCCCAAATTCCATCCCCTTCTCTTTGATTCCATCCCCTTCTCCCCGATTCCATCCCCTTCTCCCTGATTGCATCCCCTTCTCCCAGATTCCATCCCCTTCTCCTAAATTCCATCCCCTTCTCCTAGATTCCATCCCCTTCTCCCCGATTCCATCCCCTTCTCCCAGATTCCATCCCCTTCTCCCAGATTCCATCCCCTTCTCCCTGATTCCATCCCCTTCTACCAAATTCCATCCCCTTCTCCCAGATTCCATCCCCTTCTCCCAGATTCCATCCCCTTCTCCCAGATTCCATCCCCTTCTCCCAGATTCCATCCCCTTCTCCCAGATTCCATTCCCTTCTCCCAGATTCCATCTCCTTCTCCCAAATCCATCCCATTCTCCCAAATTCCATCCCCTTCTCTTTGATTCCATCCCCTTCTCCCCGATTCCATCCCCTTCTCTCTGACTGCATCCCCTTCTCCAAGATTCCATCCCGTTCTCCTAAATTCCATCCCCTTCTCCCAGATTCCATCCCCTTCTCCCTGATTCCATCCCTTTTTCCTAGATTCCATCCCCTTCTCCCAGATTCCATCCCCTTCTCCCAGATTCCATCCCCTTCTCCCAGATTCCATCCCCTTCTCCCAGATTCCGTCCCCTTCTCCCAAATTCCATCCCCTTCTCCCCGATTCCATCCCCTTCTCCGAGATTCCATCCCCTTCTCCCAGATTCTATCCCTTCTCCCCGATTCCATCACCTTGTCCCTGATTCCATCCCCTTCTCCCAGATTCCATCCCCTTCTCCCAGATTCCATCCCCTTCTCCCAGATTCCATCCCCTTCTCCCAGATTCCATCCCCTTCTCCCAGATTCCATCCCCTTCTCCCAGATTCCATCCCCTTCTCCCAGATTCCATTCCCTTCTCCCAGATTCCATCTCCTTATCCCAAATCCATCCCATTCTCCCAAATTCCATCCCCTTCTCTTTGATTCCATCCCCTTCTCCCCGATTCCATCCCCTTCTCTCTGACTGCATCCCCTTCTCCCAAATTCCATCCCCTTTTCCTAAATTCCATCCCTTTCTCCCAGATTCCATCCCCTTCTCCCTGATTCCATCCCTTTCTCCCAGATTCCATCCCCTTCTCCCAGATTCCATCCCCTTCTCCCAGATTCCATCCCCTTCTCCCAGATTCCATCCCCTTCTCCCAGATTCCATCCCCTTCTCCCAGATTCCATCCCCTTCTCCTAGATTCCATCCCCTTCTCCCACATTCCATTCCCTTCTCCCAGATTCCATCTCCTTCTCCCAAATCCATCCCATTCTCCCAAATTCCATCCCCTTCTCTTTGATTCCATCCCCTTCTCCCCGATTCCATCCCCTTCTCTCTGACTGCATCCCCTTCTCCCAGATTCCATCCCCTTCTCCTAAATTCCATCCCCTTTTCCCAGATTCCATCCCCTTCTCCCTGATTCCATCCCCTTCTCCTAGATTCCATCCCCTTCTCCCAGATTCCATCCCTTTCTCCCAGATTCCATCCCCTTCTCCCAGATTCCATCCCCTTCTCCCAGATTCCGTCCCCTTCTCCCAAATTCCATCGCCTTCTCCCCGATTCCATCCCCTTCTCCCAGATTCCATCCCCTTCTCCCAGATTCCATCCCCTTCTCCCAGATTCCATCCTCTTCTCCCAGATTCCATCCCCTTCTCCCATATTCCATCCCCTTATCCCAGATTCCATCCCCTTCTCCCAGATTCCATCCCCTTCTCCCACATTCCATCCTTTCTCCCTGATTCCATACCCTTCTCCCAAATTCCATCCCCTTGTCCCAAATTCCATCCCCTTCTCCCAGATTCCATCCCCTTCTCCCAGATTCCATCCCCTTCTCCCTGATTCCATCTCCTTCTCCCAGATTCCATCCCCTTCTCCCAGATTCCATCCCCTTCTCCCAGATTCCATCCCCTTCTCCCAGATTCCATCCCCTTCTCCCAGATTCCATCCCCTTCTCCCGGATTCCATCCCCTTCTCCCAGATTCCATCCCCTTCTCTCGGATTCCATCCCCTTCTCCCTGATTCCATCCCCTTCTCCCAGATTCCATTCCCTTCTCCCAGATTCCATCTCCTTCTCCAAAATTCCATCCCATTCTCCCAAATTTCATCCCCTTCTCTTTGATTCCATCCCCTTCTCCCCGATTCCATCCCCTTCTCCCTGATTGCATCCCCTTCTACTAGACTCCATCCCCTTCTCCTAAATTCCATCCCCTTCTCCCAAATTCCATCCCCTTCTCCCCGATTCCATCCCCTTCTCCCTCATTCCATCCCCTTCTCCCAGATTCCATCCCCTTCTCCCTGATTCCATCCCCTTCTCCAAGATTCCATCCCCTTCTCCCAGATTCCATCCCCTTCTCCCAGATTCCATCCCCTTCTCCCAGATTCCATCCCCTTCTCCTAGATTCCATCCCCTTCTCCCAGATTCCATCCTCTTCACCCAGATTCCATCCCCTTCTCCCAGATTCCATCCCCTTCTCCCTCATTCCATCCCCTTCTCCCAGATTCCATCCCCTTCTCCCAGATTCCATCCCCATCTCCCAGATTCCATCCCCTTCTCCCAGATTCCATCCCCTTCTCTCGGATTCCATCCCCTTCTCCCAGATTCCATCCCCTTCTCCCAGATTCCATCCCCTTCTCCCAGATTCCATCCCCTTCTCCCAGATTCCATTCCCTTCTCCCAGATTCCATCCCCTTCTCCCAGATTCCATCCCCTTCTCCCAGATTCCATCCCCTTCTCCCAGATTCCATCCCCTTCTCCCAGATTCCATTCCCTTCTCCCAGATTCCATCTCCTTCTCCCAAATCCATCCCATTCTCCCAAATTCCATCCCCTTCTCTTTGATTCCATCCCCTTCTCCCCGATTCCATCCCCTTCTCTCTGACTGCATCCCCTTCTCCAAGATTCCATCCCGTTCTCCTAAATTCCATCCCCTTCTCCCAGATTCCATCCCCTTCTCCCTGATTCCATCCCTTTTTCCTAGATTCCATCCCCTTCTCCCAGATTCCATCCCCTTCTCCCAGATTCCATCCCCTTCTCCCAGATTCCATCCCCTTCTCCCAGATTCCGTCCCCTTCTCCCAAATTCCATCCCCTTCTCCCCGATTCCATCCCCTTCTCCGAGATTCCATCCCCTTCTCCCAGATTCTATCCCTTCTCCCCGATTCCATCACCTTGTCCCTGATTCCATCCCCTTCTCCCAGATTCCATCCCCTTCTCCCAGATTCCATCCCCTTCTCCCAGATTCCATCCCCTTCTCCCAGATTCCATCCCCTTCTCCCAGATTCCATCCCCTTCTCCCAGATTCCATCCCCTTCTCCCAGATTCCATTCCCTTCTCCCAGATTCCATCTCCTTATCCCAAATCCATCCCATTCTCCCAAATTCCATCCCCTTCTCTTTGATTCCATCCCCTTCTCCCCGATTCCATCCCCTTCTCTCTGACTGCATCCCCTTCTCCCAAATTCCATCCCCTTTTCCTAAATTCCATCCCTTTCTCCCAGATTCCATCCCCTTCTCCCTGATTCCATCCCTTTCTCCCAGATTCCATCCCCTTCTCCCAGATTCCATCCCCTTCTCCCAGATTCCATCCCCTTCTCCCAGATTCCATCCCCTTCTCCCAGATTCCATCCCCTTCTCCCAGATTCCATCCCCTTCTCCTAGATTCCATCCCCTTCTCCCACATTCCATTCCCTTCTCCCAGATTCTATCTCCTTCTCCCAAATCCATCCCATTCTCCCAAATTCCATCCCCTTCTCTTTGATTCCATCCCCTTCTCCCCGATTCCATCCCCTTCTCTCTGACTGCATCCCCTTCTCCCAGATTCCATCCCCTTCTCCTAAATTCCATCCCCTTTTCCCAGATTCCATCCCCTTCTCCCTGATTCCATCCCCTTCTCCTAGATTCCATCCCCTTCTCCCAGATTCCATCCCTTTCTCCCAGATTCCATCCCCTTCTCCCAGATTCCATCCCCTTCTCCCAGATTCCGTCCCCTTCTCCCAAATTCCATCGCCTTCTCCCCGATTCCATCCCCTTCTCCCAGATTCCATCCCCTTCTCCCAGATTCCATCCCCTTCTCCCAGATTCCATCCTCTTCTCCCAGATTCCATCCCCTTCTCCCATATTCCATCCCCTTATCCCAGATTCCATCCCCTTCTCCCAGATTCCATCCCCTTCTCCCACATTCCATCCTTTCTCCCTGATTCCATACCCTTCTCCCAAATTCCATCCCCTTGTCCCAAATTCCATCCCCTTCTCCCAGATTCCATCCCCTTCTCCCAGATTCCATCCCCTTCTCCCTGATTCCATCTCCTTCTCCCAGATTCCATCCCCTTCTCCCAGATTCCATCCCCTTCTCCCAGATTCCATCCCCTTCTCCCAGATTCCATCCCCTTCTCCCAGATTCCATCCCCTTCTCCCGGATTCCATCCCCTTCTCCCAGATTCCATCCCCTTCTCTCGGATTCCATCCCCTTCTCCCTGATTCCATCCCCTTCTCCCAGATTCCATTCCCTTCTCCCAGATTCCATCTCCTTCTCCAAAATTCCATCCCATTCTCCCAAATTTCATCCCCTTCTCTTTGATTCCATCCCCTTCTCCCCGATTCCATCCCCTTCTCCCTGATTGCATCCCCTTCTACTAGACTCCATCCCCTTCTCCTAAATTCCATCCCCTTCTCCCAAATTCCATCCCCTTCTCCCCGATTCCATCCCCTTCTCCCTCATTCCATCCCCTTCTCCCAGATTCCATCCCCTTCTCCCTGATTCCATCCCCTTCTCCAAGATTCCATCCCCTTCTCCCAGATTCCATCCCCTTCTCCCAGATTCCATCCCCTTCTCCCAGATTCCATCCCCTTCTCCTAGATTCCATCCCCTTCTCCCAGATTCCATCCTCTTCACCCAGATTCCATCCCCTTCTCCCAGATTCCATCCCCTTCTCCCTCATTCCATCCCCTTCTCCCAGATTCCATCCCCTTCTCCCAGATTCCATCCCCATCTCCCAGATTCCATCCCCTTCTCCCAGATTCCATCCCCTTCTCTCGGATTCCATCCCCTTCTCCCAGATTCCATCCCCTTCTCCCAGATTCCATTCCTTTCTCCCAGATTCCATCTCCTTCTCCAAAATTCCATCCCATTCTCCCAAATTTCATCCCCTTCTCTTTGATTCCATCCCCTTCTCCCCGATTCCATCCCCTTCTCCCTGATTGCATCCCCTTCTCCCAGACTCCATCCCCTTCTCCTAAATTCCATCCCCTTCTCCCAGATTCCATCCCCTTCTCCCCGATTCCATCCCCTTCTCCCTCATTCCATCCCCTTCTCCCAGATTCCATCCCCTTCTCCCTGATTCCATCCCCTTCTCCCTGATTCCATCCCCTTCTCCAAGATTCCATCCCCTTCTCCAAGATTCCATCCCCTTCTCCCAGATTCCATCCCCTTCTCCCAGATTCCATCCCCTTCTCCCAGATTCCATCCCCTTCTCCTAGATTCCATCCCCTTTTCCCAGATTCCATCCCCTTCTCCCTGATTCCATCCCCTTCTCCTAGATTCCATCCCCTTCTCCCAGATTCCATCCCTTTCTCCCAGATTCCATCCCCTTCTCCCAGATTCCATCCCCTTCTCCCAGATTCCGTCCCCTTCTCCCAAATTCCATCGCCTTCTCCCCGATTCCATCCCATTCTCCCAGATTCCATCCCCTTCTCCCAGATTCCATCCCCTTCTCCCAGATTCCATCCTCTTCTCCCAGATTCCATCCCCTTCTCCCATATTCCATCCCCTTATCCCAGATTCCATCCCCTTCTCCCAGATTCCATCCCCTTCTCCCACATTCCATCCTTTCTCCCTGATTCCATACCCTTCTCCCAAATTCCATCCCCTTGTCCCAAATTCCATCCCCTTCTCCCAGATTCCATCCCCTTCTCCCAGATTCCATCCCCTTCTCCCTGATTCCATCTCCTTCTCCCAGATTCCATCCCCTTCTCCCAGATTCCATCCCCTTCTCCCAGATTCCATCCCCTTCTCCCAGATTCCATCCCCTTCTCCCAGATTCCATCCCCTTCTCCCGGATTCCATCCCCTTCTCCCAGATTCCATCCCCTTCTCTCGGATTCCATCCCCTTCTCCCTGATTCCATCCCCTTCTCCCAGATTCCATTCCCTTCTCCCAGATTCCATCTCCTTCTCCAAAATTCCATCCCATTCTCCCAAATTTCATCCCCTTCTCTTTGATTCCATCCCCTTCTCCCCGATTCCATCCCCTTCTCCCTGATTGCATCCCCTTCTACTAGACTCCATCCCCTTCTCCTAAATTCCATCCCCTTCTCCCAAATTCCATCCCCTTCTCCCCGATTCCATCCCCTTCTCCCTCATTCCATCCCCTTCTCCCAGATTCCATCCCCTTCTCCCTGATTCCATCCCCTTCTCCAAGATTCCATCCCCTTCTCCCAGATTCCATCCCCTTCTCCCAGATTCCATCCCCTTCTCCCAGATTCCATCCCCTTCTCCTAGATTCCATCCCCTTCTCCCAGATTCCATCCTCTTCACCCAGATTCCATCCCCTTCTCCCAGATTCCATCCCCTTCTCCCTTATTCCATCCCCTTCTCCCAGATTCCATCCCCTTCTCCCAGATTCCATCCCCATCTCCCAGATTCCATCCCCTTCTCCCAGATTCCTTCCCCTTCTCTCGGATTCCATCCCCTTCTCCCAGATTCCATCCCCTTCTCCCAGATTCCATTCCTTTCTCCCAGATTCCATCTCCTTCTCCAAAATTCCATCCCATTCTCCCAAATTTCATCCCCTTCTCTTTGATTCCATCCCCTTCTCCCCGATTCCATCCCCTTCTCCCTGATTGCATCCCCTTCTCCCAGACTCCATCCCCTTCTCCTAAATTCCATCCCCTTCTCCCAGATTCCATCCCCTTCTCCCCGATTCCATCCCCTTCTCCCTCATTCCATCCCCTTCTCCCAGATTCCATCCCCTTCTCCCTGATTCCATCCCCTTCTCCCTGATTCCATCCCCTTCTCCAAGATTCCATCCCCTTCTCCAAGATTCCATCCCCTTCTCCCAGATTCCATCCCCTTCTCCCAGATTCCATCCCCTTCTCCCAGATTCCATCCCCTTCTCCTAGATTCCATCCCCTTCTCCCAGATTCCATCCCCTTCTCCCTCATTCCATCCCCTTCTCCCAGATTCCATCCCCTTCTCCCAGATTCCATCCCCTTCTCCCGGATTCCATCCCCTTCTCCCAGATTCCATCCCCTTCTCTCGGATTCCATCCCCTTCTCCCTGATTCCATCCCCTTCTCCCAGATTCCATTCCCTTCTCCCAGATTCCATCTCCTTCTCCAAAATTCCATCCCATTCTCCCAAATTTCATCCCCTTCTCTTTGATTCCATCCCCTTCTCCCCGATTCCATCCCCTTCTCCCTGATTGCATCCCCTTCTACCAGACTCCATCCCCTTCTCCTAAATTCCATCCCCTTCTCCCAGATTCCATCCCCTTCTCCCCGATTCCATCCCCTTCTCCCTCATTCCATCCCCTTCTCCCAGATTCCATCCCCTTCTCCCTGATTCCATCCCCTTCTTCAAGATTCCATCCCCTTCTCCCAGATTCCATCCCCTTCTCCCAGATACCATCCCCTTCTCCCAGATTCCATCCCCTTCTCCTAGATTCCATCCCCTTCTCCCAGATTCCATCCTCTTCACCCAGATTCCATCCCCTTCTCCCAGATTCCATCCCCTTCTCCCTCATTCCATCCCCTTCTCCCAGATTCCATCCCCTTCTCCCAGATTCCATCCCCATCTCCCAGATTCCATCCCCTTCTCCCAGATTCCATCCCCTTCTCCCTGATTCCATCCCTTTCTCCAAGACTCCATCCCCTTCTCCAAGATTCCATCCCCTTCTCCCAGATTCCATCCCCTTCTCCCAGATTCCATCCCCTTCTCCCAGATTCCATCCCCTTCTCCTAGATTCCATCCCCTTCTCCCAGATTCCATCCCCTTCACCCAGATTCCATCCCCTTCTCCCAGATTCCATCCCCTTCTCCCTCATTCCATCCCCTTCTCCCAGATTCCATCCCCTTCTCCCAGATTCCATCCCCATCTCCCAGATTCCATCCCCTTCTCCCAGATTCCATCCCCTTCTCTCGGATTCCATCCCCTTCTCCCTGATTCCATCCCCTTCTCCCAGATTCCATTCCTTTCTCCCAGATTCCATCTCCTTCTCCAAAATTCCATCCCATTCTCCCAAATTTCATCCCCTTCTTTTTGATTCCATCCCCTTCTCCCCGATTCCATCCCCTTCTCCCTGATTGCATCCCCTTCTCCCAGACTCCATCCCCTTCTCCTAAATTCCATCCCCTTCTCCCAGATTCCATCCCCTTCTCCCCGATTCCATCCCCTTCTCCCTCATTCCATCCCCTTCTCCCAGATTCCATCCCCTTCTCCCTGATTCCATCCCCTTCTCCAAGATTCCATCCCCTTCTCCCAGATTCCATCCCCTTCTCCCAGATTCCATCCCCTTCTCCCAGATTCCATCCCCTTCTCCCAGATTCCATCCCCTTCTCCCACATTCCATCCCCTTCACCCAGATTCCATCCCCTTCTCCCAGATTCCATCCCTTTCTCCCTCATTCCATCCCCTTCTCCCAGATTCCATCCCCTTCTCCCAGATTCCATCCCCATCTCCCAGATTCCATCCCCTTCTCCCAGATTCCATCCCCTTCCCCTAGATTCCATCCCCTTCTCCCTAATTCCATCCCCTTCTCCCAGATTCCATCACCTTCTCCCAGATTCTATCCCCTTCTCCCAGATTCTATCCCCTTCTCCCAGATTCCATCCCCTTCTCCCAGATTCCATCCCCTTCTCCCAGATACCATCCCCTTCCCCCTGATTCCATCCCCTTCTCCCAGATTCCATCCCCTTCTCCTTGATTCCATCCCCTTCTCCCAGATTCCATCCCCTTCTCCCAGATTCCATCCCGTTCTCCCAGATTCCATCCCCTTCTCCCGGATTCCATCCCCTTCTCCCAGATTCCATCCCCTTCTCCCGGATTCCATCCCCTTCTCCCTGATTCCACCCCCTTCTCCCAGATTCCATCCCCTTCTCCCGGACTCCATCCCCTTCTCTTTGATTCCATCCCCTTCTCCTAGATTCCATCCCCTTCTCCCAGATTCCATCCCCTTCTCCCATATTCCATCCCCTTCTCCCATATTCCAATGGGGCGGGGTGATGGAAAGCGGGAGAATGGGGCGGGGTGATGGAAGGAGAGAGAATGGGGCGGGGTGATGGAAGGATGGAGAATGGGGCGGGGTGATGGAGATTGGGAGAATGGGGCGGGGTGATGGAAAGCGGGAGAATGGGGCGGGGTGATGGAAAGCGGGAGAATGGGGCCGGGTGATGGAAAGCGGGAGAATGGGGCAGGGCGATGGAAAGCGGGAGAAAGGGGCGGGGCGATGGAAGGAGGGAGAATGGCGTGGGATGATGGAAAGCGGGAGAATGAGGCGGGGTGATGGAAAGCGGGAGAATGGGGCGGGTTGATGGAAAGCGAGAGAATGGGGCGGGGTGATGGAAAGCGAGAGAATGGGGCGGGGTGATGGAAAGCGGGATAATGAGGCGGGGTGATGGATAGTGGGAGAATGGGGCGGGGTGATGGAAAACGGGAGAATTGGGCGGGGCGATGGAAATCAGGCAAATGGGGCGGGGTGATGGACGGAGGGAGAATGGGGTGGGGTGATGGAAAGAGTGAGAATGGGGCGGGCTGATGGAAAGCGGGAGAATGGGGTGGAGTGATGGAAAGCGGGAGAATGGGGCGAGGTGATGGAAAGCGGGAGAATGGGGCGGGGTGATGGAAAGCGGGAGAATGGGGCGGGGTGATGGAAAGCGGGAGAATCGGGCGGGGTTATGGAAGGAGGGAGAAGGGGGGGGGGTGACGGAAGGAGGGAGAATGGGGCGGGGTGATTGAAAGCGGGAGAATGGGGCGGGGTGATGGAAGGAGTGAGAATGGGGCGGGGTGATGGAAGGAGGGAGAATAGGGCGGGGTGATGGAAAGCGGGAGAGTGGGGCGGGGTGACGGAAAGAAGGAGACTGGGGCAGGGTGAGGGAAAGCGGGAGAATGGGGCGGGGTGATGGCAAGCAGGAGAATGGGCGGGGTTATGGAAGGAGGGAGAATGGGGTGGGGTGATGGAAGGACGGAGAATGGGGAGGGGTGATGGAAAGCGGGAGAAGGGGGCGGGGTGATGGAAAGCGGGAGAATGGGGGGGGGCTATGGAAAGCGGGAGACTGGTTGCGGGGTGAGGGAAAGCGGGAGAATGGGGCGGGGTGATGGAAAGCGGGAGAAAGGGGCGGGGTGAGGAAAAGCGGGAGAATGGGGCGGGGTGATGGAAGGAGGGAGAATGGGACGGGGTGATGGAAAGCAGGAGAATGGGGCGGGGTGATGGAAAGCGGGAGACTGGGGCGGGGTGATGGAAGGAGGGAGAATAGGGTGGGGTGATAGAAGGAGGGAGAATGGGGCGGAGTGATGGAAAGCGGGAGAATGGGGCGGGATGATGGAAAGCGGGAGAATGGGGCGGGGTGATGGAATGAGGGAGAATGGGGCGGGGTGATGGAAGGAGGGAGAATGGGGCGGGGTGATGGAAAGCGGGAGAATGGGGCGGGGTGATGGAATGAAGGAGAATGGGGCGGGGTGATGGAAGGAGGGAGAATAGGGCGGGGTGATGGAAAGCGGGAGAATGGGGCGGGGTGATGGAAAGTGGGAGAATGTGGCGGGGTGATGGAAAGCGGGAGAATAGGGTGGGGTTATGGGAAGCGGGAGAATGGGGCGGGGTGATGGAAAGCGGGAGAATGGGGCGGGGTGATGGAAGGAGGGAGAATGGGGCGGGGTGATGGAAGGAGGGAGAATGGGGAGGAGTGATGGAAAGCGGGAGAATGGGGCGGGGTGATGGAAGGAGGGAGAATGGGGCGGGATGATGGAAAGCGGAAGAATGGGGCGGGGTGATGGAAAGCAGGAGAATGGGGCGGGGTGATGGAAGGAGGGAGAATGGGGCGGGGTGATAGAAAGCGGGAGAATGTGGCGGGGTGATCGAAAGCGGGAGAAGGGGGTGGGGTTATGGGAAGCGGGAGAATGGGGCGGGCTGATGAAAAGCGGGAGAATGGGGCGGGGTGATGGAAGGAGGGAGAATGGGACGGGGTGATGGAAAGCAGGAGAATGGGGCGGGGTGATGGAAGGAGGGAGAATAGGGCGGGGTGATGGAAAGCGGGAGAATGGGGCGGGGTGATGGAAAGCGGGAGAATGGGGCGGGGTGATGGAAAGCGGGAGAATGAGGCTGGGTGATGGAAAGCGGGAGATTGGGGCCGGGTGATGGAAGGAGGGAGACTGGGGTGGGGTGATGGAAAGCGGGAGATTGGGGCAGGGTGATGGAAAGCGGGAGAATGGGGCGGGGTGATGGAAAGCGGGAGAATGGGGCAGGGAGATGGAAAGCAGGAGAAAGGGGTGGGGTGATGGAAAGCGGGAGAATGGGGCGGGGTGATGGAAAGCGGGAGAATGGGGCGGGTTGATGGAAGGAGGGAGAATGGGGCGGGGTGATGGAAAGTGGGAAAGTGTGGCGGGGTGATGGAAAGCGGGGGAATGGGGTGGGGTTATGGGAAGCGGGAGAATGGGGCGGGGTGATGGAAAGCGGGAGAATGGGGCAGGGTGATGGAATGAGGGAGAATGGGGCGGGGTGATGGAAGGAGGGAGAATGGGGCGGGGTGATGGAAAGCGGGAGAAAGGGGTGGGGTGATGGAAAGCGGGAGAATGGGGCGGGGTGATGGAAAGCGGGAGAATGGGGCGGGTTGATGGAAGGAGGGAGAATGGGGCGGGGTGATGGAAAGTGGGAAAGTGTGGCGGGGTGATGGAAAGCGGGGGAATGGGGTGGGGTTATGGGAAGCGGGAGAATGGGGCGGGGTGATGGAAAGCGGGAGAATGGGGCAGGGTGATGGAATGAGGGAGAATGGGGCGGGGTGATGGAAGGAGGGTGAATGGGGCGGGGTGATGGAAAGCGGGAGAATGGGGCGGTGTGATGGAAGGAGGGAGAATGGGGCAGGGTGATGGAAAGCGGGAGAATGGGTCGGGGTGATGGAAAGCGGGAGAATGGGGCGCGGTGATGGAAAGCGAGAGAATGGAGCGGGGTGATGGAAGGAGGGAGAATGGGGAGGGGTGATGGAAAGCGGGGGAATGGGGCGGGATGATGGGAAGCGGAAGAATGGGGCGGGGTGATGGAAAGCGGGAGAATGGGGCGGGGTGATGGAAAGCGGGAGAATGGGGCGGGGTGTTGGAAGGCGGGAGAACGGAGCGGGGTGATGGAAAGCGGGAGAATGGGGCGGGGTGATGGAAAGCGGGAGAAAGGGGAGGGGTGATGGAAAGCAGGAGAATGGGGCGGGCTGATGGAAAGCGGGAGAATGGGGCAGGGTGATGGAAGGAGGGAGAATGGGGCGGGGTGATGGAAGGAGAGAGAAGGGGGCGGGCTGATGGAAAGTGGGAGAATGTGGCGGGGTGATGGAAAGCGGGAGAATGGGGTGGGGTTATGGGAAGCGGGAGAATGAGGCGGGGTGATGGAAAGCGGGAGAATGGGGCGGGGTGATGGAAGGAGGGAGAATGGGGCGGGGTGATGGAAGAAGGGATAATGGGGCGGAGTGATGGAAAGCGGGAGAATGGGGCGGGGTCATGGACAGCGGGAGAATGGGCCGGGGTGATGGAAAGCGAGAGAATGGGGCGGGGTGATGGAAGGAGGGAGAATGGGGAGGGGTGATGGAAAGCGGGGGAATGGGGCGGGATGATGGGAAGCGGAAGAATAGGGCGGGGTGATGGAAGGAGGGAGAATGGGGCGGGATGATGGAAAGCGGGAGAATGGGGCGGGGTGATGGAAAGCGGGAGAATGGGGCGGGGTGATGGAAAGCGAGAGAATGGGGCGGGGTGATGGAAATCGGGAGAATGGGGCGGGGTGATTGAAAGCGGGAGAATGGGGCGGGGTGATGGAAGGAGGGAGAATGGAGCGGGGTGATAGAAAGCGGGAGAATTTGGCGGGGTGATGGAAAGCGGGAGAATGGGGTGGGGTTATGGGAAGGGGGAAAATGGGGCGGGGTGATGGAAAGCGGGAGAATGGGGCGGGGTGATGGAAGGAGGGAGAATGGGGCGGGGTGATGGAAGGAGGGAGAATGGGGCGGGGTGATGGAAGGAGGGAGAATGGGGCGGGGTGATGGAAAGCGGGAGAATGGGGCGGGGTGATGGAAGGAGGGAGAATGGGGCGGGGTGATGGAAAGCGGGAGAATGGAGCGGGGTGATGGAAAGCGGGAGAATGGGGCGGAGTGATCGAAAGCGGGAGAATGGGGCGGGGTGATGGAAAGCGGGAGAATGGGGCGGGGTGATGGAAGGCGGGAGAATGGAGCGGGGTGATGGAAAGCGGGAGAATGGGGCGGGGTGATGGAAAGCGGGAGAATGGGGCGGGTGATGGAAAGCGGGTGAATGGGGCCGGGTGGTGGAAAGCAGGAGAATGGGGCGGGGTGATGGAAAGCAAAAGAATGGGGCGGGGTGATGGAAAGCGGGAGAATGGGGCGAGGTGATGGAAAGCGGGAGAATGGGGCGGGTGATGGAAAGCGGAAGAATGGGGCGGGGTGATGGAAAGTGGGAGAATGGGTCGGGGTGATGGAAAGCGGGAGAATGGGGCGGAGTGATGAAAAGCGGGAGAATGGGGCGGGGTGATGGAAAGCAGGAGAATGGGGCAGGGTGATGGAAGGCGGGAGAATGGAGCGGGGTGATGGAAAGCGGGAGAATGGGGCGGGGTGATGGAAAGAGGGAGAATGGGGCAGGTGATGGAAAGCGGGTGAATGGGGCAGGGTGATGGAAAGCGGGAGAATGGGGCGGGGTGATGGAAAGCAAAAGAATGGGGTGGGGTGATGGAAAGCGGGAGAATGGGGCGAGGTGATGGAAAGCGGGAGAATGGGGCGGGTGATGGAAAGCGGGAGCATGGGGCGGGGTGATGGAAGGAGGGAGAATGGGGAGGGGTGATGGAAAGCGGGGGAATGGGGCGGGATGATGGGAAGCTGAAGAATAGGGCGGGGTGATGGAAGGAGGGAGAATGGGGCGGGATGATGGAAAGCGGGAGAATGGGGCGGGGTGATGGAAAGCGGGAGAATGGGGCGGGGTGATGGAAAGCGAGAGAATGGGGCGGGGTGATGGAAATTGGGAGAATGGGGCGGGGTGATTGAAAGCGGGAGAATGGGGCGGGGTGATGGAAATCGGGAGAATGGGGCGGGGTGATTGAAATCGGGAGAATGGGGCGGGGTGATTGAAAGTAGGAGAATGGGGCGGGGTGATAGAAAGCGGGAGAATTTGACGGGGTGATGGAAAGCGGGAGAAGGGGGCAGGGTTATGGGAAGCGGGAAAATGGGGCGGGGTGATGGAAAACGGGAGAATGGGGCGGGTTGATGGAAGGAGGGAGAATGGGACGGGGTGATGGAAGGAGGGAGAATGGGGCGGGGTGATGGAAGGAGGGAGAATGGGGCGGGGTGATGGAAAGCGGGAGAATGGGGCGGGGTGATGGAAGGAGGGAGAATGTGGCGGGGTGATGGAAGGAGGGAGAATGGGGCGGGGTGATGGAAGGCGGGAAAATGGGGCGGGGTGATGGAAAGCGGGAGAATTGGGCGGGGTGATGGAAAGCGGGAGAATGGGGCGGGGTGATGAAAGGCTGGAGAATGGGGCGGGGTGATGGAAAGAGGGAGAATGGGGCGGGGTGATGGAAAGAGGGAGAATTGGGCGGGGTGATGGAAAGCGGGAGAATGGGGCGGGGTGATGGAAAGCGGGAGAATGGGGCAAGGTGATGGAAAGAGGGAGAACGGGGCGGGGTGATGGAAAGCGGGAGAATTGGGCGGGGTGATGGAAAGCGGGAGGAATGGGGCAGGTGATGAAAGGCGGGAGAATGGGGCGGGGTGATGGAAAGAGGGAGAATGGGGCGGGGTGATGGAAAGCGGGAGAATGGGGCGGGGAGATGGAAAGAGGGAGAATGGGGCGAGGTGATGGAAACAAGGAGAATGGGGCGGGGTGATAGAAAGCGGGAGAATGGGGCGGGGTGATGGAAAGCGGGAGAATGGGGCGGGGTGATGGAAAGCGGGAGAATGGGGCGGGGTGATGGAAAGCGGGAGAATGGGGCGGGGTGATCGAAAGCGGGAGAATGGGGCGGGGTGATGGAAAGCGGGAGAATGGGGCGGGGTGATGGAAAGTGGGAGAATGGGGTGGGCTGATGGAAAGCGGGAGAATGGGGCGGGGTGATGGAAGGAGGGGGAATGGGGCGGGTGATGGAAGGAGGGAGAATGAGGCGGGGTTATGGAAAGCGGGAGAATGGGGCGGGGTGATGGAAAGCGGGAGAATGGGGCGGGGTGATGGAAGGAGGGAGAATGGGGCGGGGTGATGGAAAGCGGGAGATTGGGGCATGGTGATGGAAAGCGTGAGAATGGGGCGGGGTGATAGAAAGCGGGAAAATAAGGCGGGGTGATGGAAAGTGGGAGAATGGGGCTGGGTGATGGAAAGCGGGAGAATGGGGCGGGGTGATGGAAAGCGGGAGAATGGGGCGGGGTGATGGAAGGAGGGAGAATGAGGCGGAGTGATGGAAGGAGGGAGAATGGGGCGGGGTGATGGAAAGCAGGAGAATGGGGCGGGGTGATGGAAAGCGGGAGAATGAAGCGGAGTGATGGAAAGCGGGAGAATGGAGTGGGGTGATGGAAAGCAGGAGAATGGGGCGGGTGATGGAAATCGGGTGAATGGGGCGGGGTGATGGAAAGCAGGAGAATGGGGCAGGGTGATGGAAAGCAGAAGAATAGGGCGGGGTGATGGAAAGCGGGAGATGGGGCGAGGTGATGGAAAGCGGGAGAATGGGGCGGGTAATGGAAAGCGGGAGAATGGGGCGGGTTGATAGAAGGAGGGAGAATGGGGAGGGGTGATGGAAAGCGGGTGAATGGGGCGGGGTGATTGAATCGGGAGAATGGGGCGGGGTGATGGAAAGCGGGAGAATGGGGCGGGGTGATGGAAAGCGGGTGAATGGGGCGGGGTGATGGAAAGCGGGAGAATGGGGCGGGGTGATGGAAAGCGGGAGAATGGGGCGGGGTGATGGAAGGAGGGAGAATGGGGCGGGGCGATCGAAAGCGGGAGAATGGGGCGGGGTGATGGAAAGCGGGAGAATGGGGCGGGGTGATGGAAAGCGGGAGTATGGGGCGGGGAGATGGAAAGCGGGAGAATAGGCTGGGGTGATAGAAAATGGGAGAATGGGGCGGGGTGATGGAATGCGGGAGAATGGGGCGGGGTGATGGAAAGCGGGAGAATGGGGCGGGGTGATGGAAGGAGGTAGAATGAGGTGGGGTGATGGAAGGAGAAGAATGGGGTGGGGTGATGGAAAGAAGGAGAATGGGGCGGGGTGATGGAAAGCGGGAGAATGGGGCGGAGTGATGGAAAGCGGGAGAATGGGGCGGGGTGATGGAAAGCGGGAGAATGGGGCGTGGTGATGGAAAGCGGGAGAATGGGGCGGGGTGATGGGAGAATGGGGCGGGGTGATGGAAATCGGGAGAATGGGGTGGGGTGATGGAAAGCGGGAGAATGGGGCGGTGTGATGGAAAGCGGGTGAATGGGGTGGGCTGATGGAAAGCGGGAGAATGGGGCGGGGTGATGGAAGGAGGGAGAATGGGGCGGGGTGATGGAAAGCGGGAGAATGGGGCGGGGTGATGGAAAGTGGGAGAATGGGGCGGGTGATGAAAAGCGGGAGAATGGGGCGGGGTGATGGAAAGCGGGAGCATGGGGCGGGGTGATGGAAGGAGGTAGAATGAGGCGGGGTGATGGAAGGAGGGAGAATGGGGCGGGGTGATGGAAAGCGGGAGAATGGGGCGGGGTGATGGAAGGAGGGAGAATGGGGCGTGGTGATGGAAAGCGGGAGAATGGGGCGGGGTGATGGAAAGTGGGAGAATGGGGCGGGTGATGAAAAGCGGGAGAATGGGGCGGGGTGATGGAAAGCGGGAGCATGGGGCGGGGTGATGGAAGGAGGTAGAATGAGGCGGGGTGATGGAAGGAGGGAGAATGGGGCGGGGTGATGGAAAGCGGGAGAATGGGGCGGGGTGATGGAAGGAGGGAGAATGGGGCGTGGTGATGGAAAGCGGGAGAATGGGGCGGGGTGATGGAAAGCTGAAGAATGGGGCGGGGTGATGGAAAGCGGGAGAATGGGGCGGGGTGATGGAAAGCGGGAGAATGGGGCGGGGTGATGGAAAGCGGGAGAATGGGGCGGGGTGATGGAAAGCGGGAGAATGGAGCGGGGTGATGGAAAGCAGGAGAATGGGGCGGGGTGATCGAAAGCGGGAGAATGGGGCGGGGTGATGGAAAGTGGTAGAATGGGGTGGGCTGATGGAAAGCGGGAGAATGGGGCGGGGTGATGGAAGGAGGGAGAATGGGGCGGGGTGATGGAAGGAGGGAGAATGGGGCGGGTGATGGAAGGAGGGAGAATGAGGCTGGGTTATGGAAAGCGGGAGAATGGGGCGGGGTGATGGAAAGCGGGAGAATGGGGCGGGGTGATGGAAGGAGGGAGAATGGGGCGGGGTGATGGAAAGCCGGAGATTGGGGCATGGTGATGGAAAGCGTGAGAATGGGGCGGGGTGATAGAAAGCGGGAAAATAAGGCGGGGTGATGGAAAGTGGGAGAATGGGGCTGGGCGATGGAAAGCGGGAGAATGGGGCGGGGTGATGGAATGCGGGAGAATGGGGCGGGGTGATGGAAAGCGGGAGAATGGGGCGGGGTGATGGAAGGAGGGAGAATGAGGCGGAGTGATGGAAGGAGGGAGAATGGGGTGGGGTCATGGAAAGCAGGAGAATGGGGCGGGGTGATGGAAAGCGGGAGAATGAAGCGGAGTGATGGAAAGCGGGAGAATGGAGTGGGGTGATGGAAAGCAGGAGAATGGGGCGGGTGATGGAAAGCGTGTGAATGGGGCGGGGTGATGGAAAGCAGGAGAATGGGGCGGGGTGATGGAAAGCAGAAGAATAGGGCGAGGTGATGGAATGCGGGAGATGGGGCGAGGTGATGGAAAGCGGGAGAATGGGGCGGGTAATGGAAAGCGGGAGAATGGGGTGGGGTGATAAAAGGAGGGAGAATGGGGAGGGGTGATGGAAAGCGGGTGAATGGGGCGGGGTGATGGAAATCGGGAGAATGGGGCGGGGTGATGGAAAGCGGGAGAATGGGGCGGGGTGATGGAAAGCGGGTGAATAGGGCAGGGTGATGGAAAGCGGGAGAATGGGGCGGGGTGATGGAAAGCGGGAGAATGGGGCGGGGTGATCGAAAGCGGGAGAATGGGGCGGGGTGATGGAAAGCGGGAGAATGGGGCGGGGTGATGGAAAGCGGGAGTATGGGGCGGGGAGATGGAAAGAGGGAGAATAGGCTGGGGTGATGGAAAGTGGGAGAATGGGGCGGGGTGATGGAAAGCGGGACAATGGGGCGGGGTGATGGAAAGCGGGAGAATGGGGCGGGGTGATGGGAAGCGAGAGAATGGGGTGAGGTGATAGAAAGCGGGAGAATGGGGTGGGGTGATGGAATTCGGGAGAATGGGGCGGGGTGATGGAAGGAAGGAGAGGTGATGGAAAGCGGGGGAATGGGGCGGGAAGATGGGAAGCGGGAGAATGAGGCGGGGTGATGGAAGGAAGGAGAATGGGGCGGGGTGATGGAAAGCGGGAGAATGGGGCGGGGTGATGGAAAGCGGGAGAATGGGGCGGAGTGATGGAAAGCGGGAGAATGGGGCAGGGTGATGGAAAGCGGGAGAATGGGGCGAGGTGATGGAAAACGGGAGAATGGGGCAGGGTGTTTGAAAGCGGGAGAATGAAGCGGAGTGATGGAAAGCGGGAGAATGGGGCGGGGTGATGGAAAGCAAAAGAATAGGGCGGGGTGATGGAAAGCGGGAGATGGGGCGAGGTGATGGAAAGCGGGAGAATGGGGCGGGTAATGGAAAGCGGGAGAATGGGGCGGGGTGATAGAAGGAGGGAGAATGGGGAGGGGTGATGGAAAGCGGGTAAATGGGGCAGGGTGATGGAAATCGGGAGAATGGGGCGGGGTGATGGAAAGCGGGAGAATGGGGCGGGGTGATGGAAAGCGGGAGAATGGGGCGGGGTGATGGAAAGCGGGAGAATGGGGTGGGTGATGGAAAGCGGGAGAATGGGGCGGGGTGATGGAAATCGGGAAAATGGGGCGGGGCGATGGAAAGCGAGAGAATGGGGCGGGGTGATGGAAAGAGGGAGAATCGGGCGGGGTGATGGATGGCGGGAGAATGGGGCGGGGTGATGGAAAGGGGGAGAATTGGGCAGGGTGATGGAAAGATGGAGAATGGGGCGGGGTGATGGAAGGCGGGAGAATGGGGCGGGGTGATGGAAAGAGGGAGAATGGGGCGGGGAGATAGAAAGCAGGAGAATGGGGCGAGGTGATGGAAAGAGGGAGAATGGGGAGGGGTGATGGAAAGAGTGAGAATGGGGCAGGGTGATGGAAAGCGGGAGAATGGGGCGGGGTGATGGAAAGCAGGAGAATGGGGCGGGGTGATGGAAATCGGAAGAATGGGGCGGGGTGATAGAAAGCGGGAGAATGGGGCGGGGTGATGGAAATCGGGAGAATGGGGCGGGGTGATGGAAAACGGGAGAATAAGGCGGGGTGATGGAAAGCGAGAGAATGGGGCGGGGTGATGGATAGAGGGAGAATGGGGCGGGGTGATGGAAAGTGGGAGAATGGGGCGCGGTGATGGAAAGAGGGAGATTGGGGCGGGGTGATGGACAGCGTGAGAATGGGGCGGGGTGATGGAAAGAGGGAGAATGGGGCGGGGTGATGGAAAGCGGGAGAATTGGGCGGGGTGATAGAAAGCGGGAGTATGGGGCGGGGTGATGAAAGGCGGTAGAATGGGGCGGGGTGATGGAAAGAGGGAGAATGGGGCGGGGTGATGGAAAGAGGGAGAATGGGGCGGGGTGATGGAAAGCGGGAGAATGGGGCGAGGTGATGGAAAGCGGGAGAATGGGGCGGGGTGATGGAAAGAGGGAGAACGGGGCGGGGTGATGGAAAGCGGGAGAATTGAGCGGGGTGATGGAAAGCGGGAGGAATGGGGCAGGTGATGAAAGGCGGGAGAATGGGGCGGGGTGATAGAAAGAGGGAGAATGGGGCGGGGTGATGGAAAGCGGGAGAATGGGGCGGGGAGATGGAAAGAGGGAGAATGGGGCGAGGTGATGGAAACAGGGAGAATGGGGCAGGGTGATGGAAAGCGGGAGAGTGGGGCGGGGTGATGGAAAGCGGGAGAATGGGGCGGGGTGATGGAAAGCGGGAGAATGGGGCGGGGAGATGGAAAGCGGGAGAATGGGGCGGGGTGATCGAAAGCGGGAGAATGGGGCGGGTTGATGGAAAGCGGGAGAATGGGGCGGGGTGATGGAAAGAGGGAGAATGGGGCGGAGTGATGGAAAGCGGGAGAATGGGGCGGGGAGATGGAAAGAGGGAGAATGGGGAGAGGTGATGGAAACAGGGAGAATGGGGCGGGGTGATGGAAAGCGGGAGAATGGGGCGCGGTGATGGAAAGCGGGAGAATGGGGCGGGAGAATGGGGCGGGGTGATGGAAAGCGGGAGAATGGGGCGGGGTGATCGAAAGCGGGAGAATGGGGCGGGTTGATGGAAAGCGGGAGAATGGGGCGGGGTGATGGAAAATGGGAGAATGGGGTGGGCTGATGGAAAGCGGGAGAATGAGGCGGGGTGATGGAAGGAGGGAGAATGGGGCGGGGTGATGGAAGGAGGGAGAATGGGGCGGGTGATGGAAGGAGGGAGAATGAGGCGGGGTTATGGAAAGCGGGAGAATGGGGCGAGGTGATGGAAAGCGGGAGAATGGGGCGGGGTGATGGAAGGAGGGAGAATGGGGCGGGGTGATGGAAAGCGGGAGATTGGGGCATGGTAATGGAAAGCGTGAGAATGGGGCGGGGTGATAGAAAGCGGGAAAATAAGGCGGGGTGATGGAAAGTGGGAGAATGGGGCTGGGTGATGGAAAGCAGGAGAATGGGGCGGGGTGATGGAAAGCGGGAGAATGGGGCGGGGTGATGGAAGGAGGGAGAATGAGGCGGAGTGATGGAAGGAGGGAGAATGGGGCGGGGTGATGGAAAGCAGGAGAATGGGGCGGGGTGATGGAAAGCGGGAGAATGAAGCGGAGTGATGGAAAGCGGGAGAATGGAGTGGGGTGATGGAAAGCAGGAGAATGGGGCGGGTGATGGAAAGCGGGTGAATGGGGCGGGGTGATGGAAAGCAGGAGAATGGGGCAGGGTGATGGAAAGCAGAAGAATAGGGCGGGGTGATGGAAAGCGGGAGATGGGGCGAGGTGATGGAAAGCGGGAAAATGGGGCGGGTAATGGAAAGCGGGAGAATGGGGCGGGGTGATAGAAGGAGGGAGAATGGGGAGGGGTGATGGAAAGCGGGTGAATGGGGCGGGGTGATGGAAATCGGGAGAATGGGGCGGGGTGATGGAAAGCGGGAGAATGGGGCGGGGTGATGGAAAGCGGGTGAATGGGGCAGGGTGATGGAAAGCGGGAGAATTGGGCGGGGTGATGGAAAGCGGGAGAATGGGGCGGGGTGATGGAAGGAGGGAGAATGGGGCGGGGCGATCGAAAGCGGGAGAATGGGGCGGGGTGATGGAAAGCGGGAGAATGGGGCGGGGTGATGGAAAGCGGGAGTATGGGGCGGGGAGATGGAAAGCGGGAGAATAGGCTGGGGTGATAGAAAGTGGGAGAATGGGGCGGGGTGATGGAAAGCGGGACAATGGGGCGGGGTGATGGAAAGCGGGAGAATGGGGCGGGGTGATGGAAGGAGGTAGAATGAGGCGGGGTGATGGAAGGAGAAGAATGGGGCGGGGTGATGGAAAGAAGGAGAATGGGGCGGGGTGATGGAAAGCGGGAGAATGGGGCGGAGTGATGGAAAGCGGGAGAATGGGGCGGGGTGATGGAAAGCGGGAGAACGGGGCGGGGTGATGGAAAGCGGGAAAATGGGGCGGGGTGATGGGAGAATGGGGCAGGGTGATGGAAAGCGGGAGAATGGGGCGGGGTGATGGAAGGAGGGAGAATGGGGCGGGGTGATGGAAAGCGGGAGAATGGGGCGGGGTGATGGAAAGTGGGAGAATGGGGCGGGTGATGAAAAGCGGGAGAATGGGGCGGGGTGATGGAAAGCGGGAGCATGGGGCGGGGTGATGGAAGGAGGTAGAATGAGGCGGGGTGATGGAAGGAGGGAGAATGGGGCGGGGTGATGGAAAGCGGGAGAATGGGGCGGGGTGATGGAAGGAGGGAGAATGGGGCGTGGTGATGGAAAGCGAGAGAATGGGGCGGGGTGATGGAAAGCGGGAGAATGGGGCGGGGTGATGGAAAGCGGGAGAATGGGGCGGGGTGATGGAAAGCGGGAGAATGGGGCAGGGTGATGGAAAGCGGGAGAATGGGGCGGGGTGATGGAAAGCGGGAGAATGGGGCGGGGTGATGGAAAGCGGGAGAATGGGGCGGGGTGATCGAAAGCGGGAGAATGGGGCGGGGTGATGGAAATGTTGGTGCAACCCTATGGTTTGCACTCGGCTTGTTGTCCGTGTGCGTGCATGTGTGTGTCTATGGAATGGTATGAGGGCATGGGATAATATATATTTAATGCTTATAATTGTGTGTGAATGTTGAGTCATGATGTTGAGTGTATGTGTCGAGTCAATAGCGAGCTATCGCTAGACGCGTGTTACGCGGTCGTTTGTGTCTCGCGCGCGGTTTCTATTTTGTCGTGCGCGGTTTCTCTTTTGTCCTGTGTCGAACGTTCGGTGTGTCGCAGGTGTGTGCAGCAGACCCATCAAGAACTCAAGGATGAGTTTGTGATGAAGAGCCGAGCCTTGGTGTCAATCCACAAGTGATTTCAAAGCTCGCCAAAAGGGTACACCTCAAGATATTGAAGATAGTTACATTACTTTGTGTAGTGTAACATTTCACTTGGTGTAGGCCCTAGTGAAGGGTAGTTTCGAGACCCTTCGTGGTTGGGGACAGTGTGGCACTGTTCCACATCACTGTACCTCGGCTCTTGGGGTTTGTAGGAGCTGGGAGTCATTCCCAACTCGTAACTCTTTCTAACTCTTCCTATCTTGTGTTCTAAGACCATAGTGGCTGCTATAGTGCCGTTTGTTCAAACCAACTCTGTGTCGTCAATACTTGGTCAAATCGTGTGATCTAAATTGCCTATTGTAGGCGACAATAAGGCGCTCCAGATCCAAGTTGAATCAAGTCAGTTGAAGCTGTGACCGAAACGCTATGAACGTTTGAAGCCGCTGTGCAGAAATCCGACTGTGCACTCTATCTTTCGTTTTAGGCACATTGGAGCCTACTGTGACTATAACAAGTGGTATCAGAGCCCCTCGGAGCAGTTTAGACAATGGCTGGACCTGAGGAAAGGGGTGGCAGAGGTGCTGGTGGCAGAGGAGAAGCCCAAGCTCAAGGCCAACCCCGTGACTCAGCCATGGCGCCCGTGCAACCAAGTGTTGGCCCATCTAGGGATGAGCCTAGAGTGTTTGGCCTTGACAAGTTCAATGGTGACAACTTTGCTGAGTGGTCCTTCAAAATGGAGAACATATTTGACCACTATGACCTGCTGGAGGTGATGGAAGGAACGGAGAAGCGTCCCGAGAACGACCCGGAGAAGAGCCCGTGGGTGCGGAAGAGCGCACAAGGCTACCTCCTACTTGGGCAAGCGTTGGGGAGCAGCCAAATCCGTCACATCAAGCCCTTCCAGCGTGAACCAGAGAAGGGACCAAAAGCATGGGCTGCTCTCAAGGGTGTACACGCTCCTGCAACAGCGGCGGTAGCTGTGGTGTTGGAACGGCAAATGGCGACGTTACGAATTGAAGAGGATGAAGCGGTTGAAGAAGGGGTGCAGAAATTCTTCGACTTGTTGACGCGGCTTGAGGGAGCTGATTTGAACTATAGTGAGCTCCAAAAGAAGACCAAGTTGCTGGCCCTACTCCCGGAGTCATGGTCCTCGCTCATCACCAACCTTAATCGTGACTTGCCCCGCCTCTCGCTTGAAGACGTGAAGCGAGCTATCCTTCAAGAGGATTTCCGCCGCCGTGAATTGGCGAGTGCGGATGGCGCTGGGGCAGCGAGCATCGGCCGTGGATATGGTCGAGGAAGAGGCAGAGGACGAGGGGGAGGAAGGTTTGGTGGCAGCAACTTCGGCGGAGGCCGTGGGAGTGGCGGTTACGGCAGCGACGAGAAGAACTACGGACGCGGTCGCGGCCGATTCGACGGCGAGTGTCACTATTGCCACAAGAGCGGACACATGTGGCGCGACTGCTACAAACTCCCTGATGGTTGGACCCCTGCTCAAGGCCAAGAGGGTAGAGGAGCAGGAGGAGGGAGAGGAAGAGGCCGTGGAGGCCGTGGCGGTCGCGGTGGCGGAGCTGCAAACATGAAGAGCGGAGACAACGACAAGGACCCGAGCGACGATCGATACCCGGGTCTATTCTACTTCGTGTCGACGCAAGTACCGGCTGGTCCAGAGAAGGATGAAGGCTTTGAGGAGCCAGCAGCTGTGGGGAAGGTGACCCTACACCCCCTGGACTATTGGGTGATTGATAGTGGCGCTACCTATAGCATGACACCTCGCCCGGACTTGCTCACCGAACTCGAGCCGTCACCGGTGAAGCATGTCACATCGGCTTTGGGGCAGCGAGCAGAGGTGAAAGGCATGGGGAAGGCCATGTTCAAGGGTGCTGATGGGAAGATGGTGGGCCTCAAGAACGTGCTTTGGGTGCCCAGCCTTGCTGCAAACCTGATTTCCGTGCGGCGGTTGGCAAAGGCCGGCATGGACACTAACTCGAAGGGAGCCAAGACCTACACCGCAAGGCTTGGCGATCGGATTCTTTGGGACCTTCATGAGGACAGAGATGTCTACAGCGAGATGTGGCAGATCCCTGTGGTCCCAATGCCTAAGGAGAGGCAAGTGGCAGCAAGCGTCAGCACTAAAGGTGGAGCGGTTGGTAGCGGTGATTGCGCGGACGGTCGCGCTAAGGAGAAGGAGTCCAAGAAGTGCAATCTTGGAGGGACCAGCAAGTTCAGTGAACCTAAGGAGACTGGTGCAGCAACCAAGGAGCAGCAAAAGGGTGAGGAGAACCCCGAGGCAACAGCGGAGGAGGACTACGGAGAGAGTATGTGGGGCGCTATTGCGAGCGCGGCATTCTCCAATCCAACTTCGGCTACGGGGGAGTGTGATTGGCTCACCTTGCATCGGCGCATGGGGCATGTGGCCCTGCCCATCTTGCAGCAGCTAGTGAAGAATGAGATGGTTGCTGGCATACGTGTGAAGGGGGAGCCCGATGAGGTACTTGGCTGCCCGACGTGCATGCAAGCCAAGTTCACCCGTTACCCATTCTCTAGTTCGGAGGCAACGGCTAAGGCACCACTTGATGAGGTGGTGATGGACGTGGTGGGCCCCCTGAAGCTTGGAGCTGCTGGAGCTGAGTACTTCCTCACTATTGTTGACGTCTACACCCGTATGACTTGGGTGTACGTGCTGGCCAAGAAGAGCGACGTGGCTGAAACGTTGAAGGCGGATTGGTTCCCGATGGTGGAGCGGCAACAAGACCGTCTAGTCAAGTCAATCCGCACCGATCGAGGGGGAGAGTTCCTGAGCAAGGAGTTTGGGTTGTGGCTGAAGAAGAATGGTATTTGACACTCCCTCACCATGCCATACTCCCCTGCAATGAACGGCATCGCTGAGCGAGCGAACCGCACAATCACGGAGGCGGCACGCGGGTTGCTCATTGAAGCCGGGCTACCCGACTATTTCTGGCCTGATGCGGTGCGGAGCGCATGTGTGGCCAAGAACAGAGCCTTGACTCATGTGGGAGCAGACAAATGGGTGCCCTATGTGGAGTGGCTAGGAAGGAAGCCAAAGGTGGATATGCTTCGGGTGTTCGGGTGCATGTGCATGGCGCTTGTGCCTAAACATCTTCGGCACAACAAGCTTGGTGCCAAGGCGGTGTGGGCCGTGCACTTGGGCATGGCTCAAAACAGCAAGGGATGGCTTCTTTGGGACCCATTCACCAAGAAGTTCTTGGTGAGCAGGGACTGCAAGTTCATGGAGAACTTCATGTACAAGGATTGGAAGGCGGAGAATGAGGCGAAGATAGGCGTGCGGTTTGGGGAGGTGAAGAGTTCCGGTTTGGAGCATGTGGAGCTGCCTTTGGAGCTGAGCAGCGGCAGCACAACCACGAGGCAATCCTCCCTTGTGAAAGGGGGAGAGGAGGCCACTGATGCAGAGGAAGAAGAGGAGGAGGTGCAGCAAGTGAGTGAGCGTGCACCGTCACTCCCTTCCCGTACCACGAGTGCTCCACGGAATCGAGCCACACCGCAGCGACGCCAAGGCCTTCAAGTCGCTGCAGCTGAGGAGGAAGGAAGGGGGAAGAGGAGAGTTCAACCCCCTAATAGGCTGACCTATGATGCACTTGGAAAGCAAGGCAAGACAGCCCTGGCCGGAGCGGCAATGATGGTCGGAGACGATGAGGAGAGTGACTACGAGGAGTGTGCCTTCGCGTTCTTCTCTCCGGTGGAGATGCCGGGAGAACCAGCAACTCTCAAGGAGGCTTTGGAAAGTAGTGATGCTGAGGAGTGGAAGAAGGCTTTGGAGAGTGAGCTGAAGAGCATCGAGGAGAATGACACGTTTGAATTGGTGGAGCTACCGGAGGGGCGTACGGCGATAACGTCCAAGTGGCTCTTCAAAATCAAGTCGGATGCCGACGGCAAGATCGAGCGTTACAAGTCTAGGCTTGTAGCCAAGGGGTACCAGCAGAAGGAGAAGGTGGACTTCAAGGAGCTGTTTGCCCCTGTGGTGAAGCCGACGACGCTGCGAACCCTATTCGCGGGAGCCGCCATCAAAGGATGGGTGGTGAAGCAAATGGACATTGTGACGGCATTCCTTAACGGCATCCTTGAGGAGGAGATTTTTATGGCACAGCCAGAGGGGTTTGATGATGGTAGTGGCAGAGTGTGGAAGCTGAAGAAGGCCCTCTATGGGCTGAAGCAGGCCCCTGGGCAATGGTACATGAAGCTGCACGAAGTGTTGGAGGAGATCGGCTTCACTCCCTCAACGGCCGATCACTCCTTGTTCATGCTTGGCGAGGGGGAGCAGAGGAGCTTCATGGTGGTTTATGTGGATGACATTCTCATATTCTCACCCTCCTCTGACCTTGTGAAGGAGGTGATGCTGAAGCTGCATGACAAGTTCAAGTGCAAGTCCCTTGGTGACGTGAACTTCTACCTTGGGCTCCACATCGAACGAGACGTGGAGAAGCGGAGCATGCGAGTGCACCAACGGAAGTACCTGGAGGCGTTGGCTGCCAACTTCGGCCAGAGTGAAGGTCATGTGGCTACTCCCTTTCCCTCTGGGTTCAAGTGTGTGAAGGGGCCAGAGGAGGAGAGCGTTGGAGAAGAGGAGAGGCGCCGATTTCACTCGTTGGTGGGCAGCCTCATGTATGCGGCGGTAAACACTCGACCGGACGTCACGTTTGCTACCGGGCAGCTGGCTAGGGTTCTGCAATGCCCTAATGAGGAGCAGGTAGCAGCTGGAATGAGGGTGTCCAAGTATCTTGGCCAAACAGCGACTGTTGGGCTGCAATACTCGGCGGCGGCACAAAGGCGCCAAAAGGGCGCGGATGGTGTTGAACCCGGGCATTTGTTCCTCACCGCCTACTCGGATGCTTCATATGCATCAGAACCAGAGGACATGACAAGTGTGGGAGGCTTCATATGCTGTGTTGGTGGAGGCCCAACTGCTTGGGAGAGCAAGAAGCAGGTTGACCAAGCTTTGAGCTCGGTGGAGTCCGAATACATGGCACTCTTCCGTGCCGTACGGGAGATTGTGTGGCAGCGGCGTTTGTTGGCTGAATTGGGGGAGGAGCAGCAAGGACCTACCCCACTGTATTGTGACAGCCAGGGTGCCATTGCTCTTGCTAAGAACCCTGTGTTGCATGGACTCACGAAGCACATGAGGGTGAAGTGGCATTGGACGAGAAGCATGGTAACCGCGGGTGAAGTTGAGTTGCGCTACGTGAAGACCACGGGGCAGCCGGCTGACATGATGACCAAGAGGCTGGTGGAGCAGCAGCATTGGAAGTGTTGCAAGCTGGCTGGGATGGCTCTGAACTGACAGAGCAACACACCCTAAGGCCAACAATCCGAGGGGGAGTTTGTTGGCGCAACCCTATGGTTTGCACTCGGCTTGTTGTCCGTGTGCGTGCATGTGTGTGTCTATGGAATGGTATGAGGGCATGGGATAATATATATTTAATGCTTATAATTGTGTGTGAATGTTGAGTCATGATGTTGAGTGTATGTGTCGAGTCAATAGCGAGCTATCGCTAGACGCGTGTTACGCGGTCGTTTGTGTCTCGCGCGCGGTTTCAATTTTGTCGTGCGCGGTTTCTCTTTTGTCCTGTGTCGAACGTTCGGTGTGTCGCAGGTGTGTGCAGCAGACCCATCAAGAACTCAAGGATGAGTTTGTGATGAAGAGCCGAGCCTTGGTGTCAATCCACAAGTGATTTCAAAGCTCGCCAAAAGGGTACACCTCAAGATATTGAAGATAGTTACATTACTTTGTGTAGTGTAACATTTCACTTGGTGTAGGCCCTAGTGAAGGGTAGTTTCGAGACCCTTCGTGGTTGGGGACAGTGTGGCACTGTTCCACATCACTGTACCTCGGCTCTTGGGGTTTGTAGGAGCTGGGAGTCATTCCCAACTCGTAACTCTTCCTAACTCTTCCTATCTTGTGTTCTAAGAACATAGTGGCTGCTATAGTGCCGTTCGTTCAAACCAACCCTGTGTCGTCAATACTTGGTCACATCGTGCGATCTAAATTGCCTATTGTAGGCGACAATAAGGCGCTCCAGATCCAAGTTGAATCAAGTCATTTGAAGCTGTGACCAAAACGCTATGAACGTTTGAAGCCGCTGTACAGAAATCCGAATGTGCACTCTATCTTTCGTTTTAGGCACATTGGAGCCTACTGTGACTATAACAGGAAAGCGGGAGAATGGGGCGGGGTGATGGAAAGTGGTAGAATGGGGTGGGCTGATGGAAAGCGGGAGAATGGAGCGGGGTGATGGAAGGAGGGAGAATGGGGCGGGGTGATGGAAGGAGGGAGAATGGGGCGGGTGATGGAAGGAGGGAGAATGAGGCGGGGTTCTGGAAAGTGGGAGAATGGGGCGGGGTGATGGAAAGCGGGAGAATGGGGCGGGGTGATGGAAGGAGGGAGAATGGGGCGGGGTGATGGAAAGCGGGAGATTGGGGCATGGTGATGGAAAGCGTGAGAATGGGGCGGGGTGATAGAAAGCGGGAAAATAAGGCGGGGTGATAGAAAGTAGGAGAATGGGGCGGGGTGATGGAAAGCGGGAGAATGGGGCGGGGTGATGGAAGGAGGGAGAATGAGGCGGAGTGATGGAAGGAGGGAGAATGGGGCGGGGTGATTGAAAGCAGGAGAATGGGGCGGGGTGATGGAAAGCGGGAGAATGAAGCGGAGTGATGGAACGCGGGAGAATGGATTGGGGTGATGGAAAGCAGGAGAATGGGGCGGGTGATGGAAAGCGGGTGAATGGGGCGGGGTGATGGAAAGCAGGAGAATGGGGCGGGGTGATGGAAAGCGGGAGAATGGGGCGGGGTGATGGAAGGAGGGAGAATGAGGCGGAGTGATGGAAGGAGGGAGAATGGGGCGGGGTGATGGAAAGCAGGAGAATGGGGCGGGGTGTTGGAAAGCGGGAGAATGAAGCGGAGTGATGGAAAGCGGGAGAATGGAGTGGGGTGATGGAAAGAGAGAGAATGGGGCGGGGTAATGGAAATCGGGAAAATGGGGCGGGGTGATGGAAAGCGGGAGAATGGGGCGGGGTGATGAAAGGCGGGAGAATGGGGCGGGGTGATGGAAAGAGGGAGAATGGGGCGGGGTGATGGAAAGAGGGAGAATGGGGCGAGGTGATGGAAAGCGGGAGAATGGGGCAGGGTGATGGAAAGCGGGAGAATGGGGCGGGGTGATGGAAAGAGGGAGAACGGGGCGGGGTGATGGAAAGCGGGAGAATTGGGCGGGGTGATGGAAAGCAGGAGGAATGGGGCAGGTGATGAAAGGCGGGAGAATGGGGCGGGGTGTTGGAAAAAGGGAGGATGGGGCGGGGTGATGGAAAGCGGGAGAATGGGGCGGGGAGATGGAAAGAGGGAGAATGGGGCGAGGTGATGGAAACAGGGAGAATGGGGCGGGGTGATGGAAAGTGGGAGAATGGGGCGGGGTGATGGAAAGCGGGAGAATGGGGCGGGGTGATGGAAAGCGGAGAATGGGGCGGGGTGATGGAAAGGGGGAGAATGGGGCGGGGTGATCGAAAGCGGGAGAATGGGGCGGGGTGATGAAAGGCGGGAGAATGGGGCGGGGTGATGGAAAGAGGGAGAATGGGGCGGGGTGATGGAAAGAGGGAGAATGGGGCGAGGTGATGGAAAGCGGGAGAATGGGGCAGGGTGATGGAAAGCGGGAGAATGGGGCGGGGTGATGGAAAGAGGGAGAACGGGGCGGGGTGATGGAAAGCGGGAGAATTGGGCGGGGTGATGGAAAGCAGGAGGAATGGGGCAGGTGATGAAAGGCGGGAGAATGGGGCGGGGTGTTGGAAAAAGGGAGGATGGGGCGGGGTGATGGAAAGCGGGAGAATGGGGCGGGGAGATGGAAAGAGGGAGAATGGGGCGAGGTGATGGAAACAGGGAGAATGGGGCGGGGTGATGGAAAGCGGGAGAATGGGGCGGGGTGATGGAAAGCGGGAGAATGGGGCGGGGTGATGGAAAGCGGAGAATGGGGCGGGGTGATGGAAAGCGGGAGAATGGGGCGGGGTGATCGAAAGCGGGAGAATGGGGCGGGGTGATGGAAAGCGGGAGAATGGGGCGGGGTGATGGAAAATGGGAGAATGGGGTGGGCTGATGGAAAGCGGGAGAATGGGGCGGGGTGATGGAAGGAGGGAGAATGGGGCGGGGTGATGGAAGGAGGGAGAATGGGGCGGGTGATGGAAGGAGGGAGAATGAGGCGGGGTTATGGAAAGCGGGAGAATGGGGCGGGGTGATGGAAAGCGGGAGAATGGGGCGGGGTGATGGAAGGAGGGAGAATTGGGCGGGGTGATGGAAAGCGGGAGATTGGGGCATGGTGATGGAAAGCGTGAGAATGGGGCGGGGTGATAGAAAGCGGGAGAATGGGGCGGGGTGATGGAAAGCGGGAGAATGGGGCGGGGTGATGGAAGGAGGGAGAATGGGGCGGGGCGATCGAAAGCGGGAGAATGGGGCGGGGTGATGGAAAGCGGGAGAATGGGGCGGGGTGATGGAAAGCGGGAGTATGGGGCGGGGATATGGAAAGCGGGAGAATAGGCTGGGGTGATAGAAAGTGGGAGAATGGGGCGGGGTGATGGAAAGCGGGACAATGGGGCGGGGTGATGGAAAGCGGGAGAATGGGGCGGGGTGATGGAAGGAGGTAGAATGAGGCGGGGTGATGGAAGGAGAAGAATGGGGCGGGGTGATGGAAAGAAGGAGAATGGGGCGGGGTGATGGAAAGCGGGAGAATGGGGCGGAGTGATGGAAAGCGGGAGAATGGGGCGGGGTGATGGAAAGCGGGAGAATGGGGCGTGGTGATGGAAAGCGGGAGAATGGGGCGGGGTGATGGAAAGCGGGAGAATGGGGCGGGGTGATGGAAAGCGGGAGAATGGGGCGGTGTGATGGAAAGCGGGTGAATGGGGTGGGCTGATGGAAAGCGGGAGAATGGGGCGGGGTGATGGAAGGAGGGAGAATGGGGCGGGGTGATGGAAAGCGGGAGAATGGGGCGGGGTGATGGAAAGTGGGAGAATGGGGCGGGTGATGAAAAGCGGGAGAATGGGGCGGGGTGATGGAAAGCGGGAGCATGGGGCGGGGTGATGGAAGGAGGTAGATTGAGGCGGGGTGATGGAAGGAGAAGAATGGGGCGGGGTGATGGAAAGAAGGAGAATGGGGCGGGGTGATGGAAAGCGGGAGAATGGGGCGGAGTGATGGAAAGCGGGAGAATGGGGCGGGGTGATGGAAAGCGGGAGAATGGGGCGTGGTGATGGAAAGCGGGAGAATGGGGCGGGGTGATGGAAAGCGGGAGAATGGGGCGGGGTGATGGAAAGCGGGAGAATGGGGCGGTGTGATGGAAAGCGGGTGAATGGGGTGGGCTGATGGAAAGCGGGAGAATGGGGCGGGGTGATGGAAGGAGGGAGAATGGGGCGGGGTGATGGAAAGCGGGAGAATGGGGCGGGGTGATGGAAAGTGGGAGAATGGGGCGGGTGATGAAAAGCGGGAGAATGGGGCGGGGTGATGGAAAGCGGGAGCATGGGGCGGGGTGATGGAAGGAGGTAGATTGAGGCGGGGTGATGGAAGGAGAAGAATGGGGCGGGGTGATGGAAAGAAGGAGAATGGGGCGGGGTGATGGAAAGCGGGAGAATGGGGCGGAGTGATGGAAAGCGGGAGAATGGGGCGGGGTGATGGAAGGAGGGAGAATGGGGCGGGGTGATGGAAAGCGGGAGAATGGGGCGGGGTGATGGAAAGTGGGAGAATGGGGCGGGTGATGAAAAGCGGGAGAATGGGGCGGGGTGATGGAAAGCGGGAGCATGGGGCGGGGTGATGGAAGGAGGTAGAATGAGGCGGGGTGATGGAAGGAGGGAGAATGGGGCGGGGTGATGGAAAGCGGGAGAATGGGGCGGGGTGATGGAAGGAGGGAGAATGGGGCGTGGTGATGGAAAGCGGGAGAATGGGGCGGGGTGATGGAAAGCGGGAGAATGGGGCGGGGTGATGGAAAGCGGGAGAATGGGGCGGGGTGATGGAAAGCGGGAGAATGGGGCGGGGTGATGGAAAGCGGGAGAATGGGGCGGGGTGATGGAAGGAGGGAGAATGGGGCGGGGTGATGGAAAGCGGGAGATTGGGGCATGGTGATGGAAAGCGTGAGAATGGGGCGGGGTGATGGAAAGCGGGAGAATGGGGCGGGGTGATGGAAAGCGGGAGAATGGGGCGGGATGATGGAAAGTGGTAGAATGGGGTGGGCTGATGGAAAGCGGGAGAATGGGGCGGGGTGATGGAAGGAGGGAGAATGGGGCGGGGTGATGGAAGGAGGGAGAATGGGGCGGGTGATGGAAGGAGGGAGAATGAGGCGGGGTTCTGGAAAGCGGGAGAATGAGCGGGGTGATGGAAAGCGGGAGAATGGGGCGGGGTGATGGAAGGAGGGAGAATGGGGCGGGGTGATGGAAAGCGGGAGATTGGGGCATGGTGATGGAAGCGTGAGAATGGGGCGGGGTGATAGAAAGCGGGAAAATAAGGCGGGGTGATGGAAAGTGGGAGAATGGGGCTGGGCGATGGAAAGCGGGAGAATGGGGCGGGGTGATGGAAAGCGGGAGAATGGGGCGGGGTGATGGAAGGAGGGAGAATGAGGCGGAGTGATGGAAGGAGGGAGAATGGGGCGGGGTGATGGAAAGCAGGAGAATGGGGCGGGGTGATGGAAAGCGGGAGAATGAAGCGGAGTGATGGAAAGCGGGAGAATGGAGTGGGGTGATGGAAAGCAGGAGAATGGGGCGAGTGATGGAAAGCGGGTGAATGGGGCGGGGTGATGGAAAGCAGAAGAATGGGGCGGGGTGATGGAAAGCAGAAGAATAGGGCGGGGTGATGGAAAGTGGGAGATGGGGCGAGGTGATGGAAAGCGGGAGAATGGGGCGGGTAATGGAAAGCGGGAGAATGGGGCGGGGTGATAGAAGGAGGGAGAATGGGGAGGGGTTATGGAAAGCGGGTGAATGGGGCGGGGTGATGGAAATCGGGAGAATGGGGCGGGGTGATGGAAAGCGGGAGAATGGGGCAAGTTAATGGAAAGCGGGTGAATAGGGCAGGGTGATGGAAAGAAGGAGAATGGGGCGGGGTGATGGAAAGCGGGAGAATGGGGCGGGGTGATGGAAGGAGGGAGAATGGGGCGGGGCGATCGAAAGCGGGAGAATGGGGCGGGGTGATGGAAAGCGGGAGAATGGGGCGGGGTGATGGAAAGCGGGAGTATGGGGCGGGGAGATGGAAAGCGGGAGAATAGGCTGAAGTGATGGAAAGTGGGAGAATGGGGCGGGGTGATGGAAAGCGGGACAATGGTGCGGGGTGATGGAAAGCGGGAGAATGGGGCGTGGTGATGGAAAGCGAGAGAATGGGGTGGGGTGATAGAAAGCGGGAGAATGGGGTTGGGTGATGGAATTCGGGAGAATGGGGCGGGGTGATGGAAGGAGGGAGAGGTGATGGAAAGCGGGAGAATGGGGCGGGATGATGGGAAGCGGGAGAATGAGGCGGGGTGATGGAAGGAAGGAGAATGGGGCGGGGTGATGGAAAGCGGGAGAATGGGGCGGGGTGATGGAAAGCGGGAGAATGGGGCGGACTGATGGAAAGCGGGAGAATGGGGCGGGGTGATGGAAAGCGAGAGAATGGGGCGAGGTGATGGAAAACGGGAGAATGGGGCGTGGTGTTTGAAAGCGGGAGAATGAAGCGGAGTGATGGAAAGCGGGAGAATGTGTTGGTGCAACCCTATGGTTTGCACTCGGCTTGTTGTCCGTGTGCGTGCATGTGTGTGTGTCTATGGAATGGTATGAGGGCATGGGATAATATATATTTAATGCTTATCATTGTGTGTGAATGTTGAGTCATGATGTCGAGTGTATGTGTCGAGTCAATAGCGAGTTATCGCTAGACGCGTGTTACGCGGTCGTTTGTGTCTCGCGCGCGGTTTCAATTTTGTCGTGCGCGGTTTCTCTTTTGTCCTGTGTCGAACGTTCGGTGTGTCGCAGGTGTGTGCAGCAGACCCATCAAGAACTCAAGGATGAGTTTGTGATGAAGAGCCGAGCCTTGGTGTCAATCCACAAGTGATTTCAAAGCTCGCCAAAAAGGGTACACCTCAAGATATTGAAGATAGTTACATTACTTTGTGTAGTGTAACATTTCACTTGGTGTAGGCCCTAGTGAAGGGTAGTTTCGAGACCCTTCGTGGTTGGGGACAGTGTGGCACTGTTCCACATCACTGTACCCCTGCTCAAGGCCAAGAGGGTAGAGGAGCAGGAGGAGGGAGAGGAAGAGGCCGTGGAGGCCGTGGCGGTCGCGGTGGCGGAGCTGCAAACATGAAGAGCGGAGACAACGACAAGGACCCGAGCGACGATCGATACCCGGGTCTATTCTACTTCGTGTCTACGCAAGTACCGGCTGGTCCAGAGAAGGATGAAGGCTTTGAGGAGCCAGCAGCTGTGGGGAAGGTGACCCTACACCCCCTGGACTATTGGGTGATTGATAGTGGCGCTACCTATAGCATGACACCTCGCCCGGACTTGCTCACCGAACTCGAGCCGTCACCGGTGAAGCATGTCACATCGGCTTTGGGGCAGCGAGCAGAGGTGAAAGGCATGGGGAAGGCCATGTTCAAGGGTGCTGATGGGAAGATGGTGGGCCTCAAGAACGTGCTTTGGGTGCCCAGCCTTGCTGCAAACCTGATTTCCGTGCGGCGGTTGGCAAAGGCCGGCATGGACACTAACTCGAAGGGAGCCAAGACCTACACCGCAAGGCTTGGCGATCGGATTCTTTGGGACCTTCATGAGGACAGAGATGTCTACAACAAGATGTGGCAGATCCCTGTGGTCCCAATGCCTAAGGAGAGGCAAGTGGCAGCAAGCGTCAGCACTAAAGGTGGAGCGGTTGGTAGCGGCGATTGCGCGGACGGTCGCGCTACGGAGAAGGAGTCCAAGAAGTGCAATCTTGGAGGGACCAGCAAGTTCAGTGAACCTAAGGAGAGTGGTGCAGCAACCAAGGAGCAGCAAAAGGGTGAAGAGAACCCCGAGGCAACAGCGGAGGAGGACTACGGAGAGAGTATGTGGGGCGCTATTGCGAGCGCGGCATTCTCCAATCCAACTTCGGCTACGGGGGAGTGTGATTGGCTCACCTTGCATCGGCGCATGGGGCATGTGGCCCTGCCCATCTTGCAGCAGCTAGTGAAGAATGAGATGGTTGCTGGCATACGTGTGAAGGGGGAGCCCGATGAGGTACTTGGCTGCCCGACGTGCATGCAAGCCAAGTTCACCCGTTACCCATTCTCTAGTTCGGAGGCAACGGCTAAGGCACCACTTGATGAGGTGGTGATGGACGTGGTGGGCCCCCTGAAGCTTGGAGCTGCTGGAGCTGAGTACTTCCTCACTATTGTTGACGTCTACACCCGTATGACTTGGGTGTACGTGCTGGCCAAGAAGAGCGACGTGGCTGAAACGTTGAAGGCGGATTGGTTCCCGATGGTGGAGCGGCAACAAGACCGTCTAGTCAAGTCAATCCGCACCGATCGAGGGGGAGAGTTCCTGAGCAAGGAGTTTGGGTTGTGGCTGAAGAAGAATGGTATTCGACACTCCCTCACCATGCCATACTCCCCTGCAATGAACGGCATCGCTGAGCGAGCGAACCGCACAATCACGGAGGCGGCACGCGGGTTGCTCATTGAAGCCGGGCTACCCGACTATTTCTGGCCTGATGCGGTGCGGAGCGCATGTGTGGCCAAGAACAGAGCCTTGACTCATGTGGGAGCAGACAAATGGGTGCCCTATGTGGAGTGGCTAGGAAGGAAGCCAAAGGTGGATATGCTTCGGGTGTTCGGGTGCATGTGCATGGCGCTTGTGCCTAAGCATCTTCGGCACAACAAGCTTGGTGCCAAGGCGGTGTGGGCCGTGCACTTGGGCATGGCTCAAAACAGCAAGGGATGGCTTCTTTGGGACCCATTCACCAAGAAGTTCTTGGTGAGCAGGGACTGCAAGTTCATGGAGAACTTCATGTACAAGGATTGGAAGGCGGAGAATGAGGCGAAGATAGGCGTGCGGTTTGGGGAGGTGAAGAGTTCCGGTTTGGAGCATGTGGAGCTGCCTTTGGAGCTGAGCAGCGGCAGCACAACCACGAGGCAATCCTCCCTTGTGAAAGGGGGAGAGGAGGCCACTGATGCAGAGGAAGAAGAGGAGGAGGTGCAGCAAGTGAGTGAGCGTGCACCGTCACTCCCTTCCCGTACCACGAGTGCTCCACGGAATCGAGCCACACCGCAGCAACGCCAAGGCCTTCAAGTCGCTGCAGCTGAGGAGGAAGGAAGGGGGAAGAGGAGAGTTCAACCCCCTAATAGGCTGACCTGTGATGCACTTGGAAAGCAAGGCAAGACAGCCCTGGCCGGAGCGGCAATGATGGTCGGAGACGATGAGGAGAGTGACTACGAGGAGTGTGCCTTCGCGTTCTTCTCTCCGGTGGAGATGCCGGGAGAACCAGCAACTCTCAAGGAGGCTTTGGAGAGTAGTGATGCTGAGGAGTGGAAGAAGGCTTTGGAGAGTGAGCTGAAGAGCATCGAGGAGAATGACACGTTTGAATTGGTGGAGCTTCCGGAGGGGCGTACGGCGATAACGTCCAAGTGGCTCTTCAAAATCAAGTCGGATGCCGACGGCAAGATCGAGCGTTACAAGTCTAGGCTTGTAGCCAATGGGTACCAGCAGAAGGAGAAGGTGGACTTCAAGGAGCTGTTTGCCCCTGTGGTGAAGCCGACGACGCTGCGAACCCTATTCGCGGGAGCCGCCATCAAAGGATGGGTGGTGAAGCAAATGGACATTGTGACGGCATTCCTTAACGGCATCCTTGAGGAGGAGATTTTTATGGCATAGCCAGAGGGGTTTGATGATGGTAGTGGCAGAGTGTGGAAGCTGAGAAAGGCCCTCTATGGGCTGAAGCAGGCCCCTAGGCAATGGTACATGAAGCTGCGCGAAGTGTTGGAGGAGATCGGCTTCACTCCCTCAACGGCCGATCACTCCTTGTTCATGCTTGGCGAGGGGGAGCAGAGGAGCTTCATGGTGGTTTATGTGGATGACATTCTCATATTCTCACCCTCCTCTGACCTTGTGAAGGAGGTGATGCTGAAGCTGCATGACAAGTTCAAGTGCAAGTCCCTTGGTGACGTGAACTTCTACCTTGGGCTCCACATCGAACGAGACGTGGAGAAGCGGAGCATGCGAGTGCACCAACGGAAGTACCTGGAGGCGTTGGCTGCCAACTTCGGCCAGAGTGAAGGTCATGTGGCTACTCCCTTTCCCTCTGGGTTCAAGTGTGTGAAGGGGCCAGAGGAGGAGAGCGTTGGAGAAGAGGAGAGGCGCCGATTTCACTCGTTGGTGGGCAGCCTCATGTATGCGGCGGTAAACACCCGACCGGACGTCGCGTTTGCTACCGGGCAGCTGGCTAGGGTTGTGCAATGCCCTAATGAGGAGCAGGTAGCAGCTGGAATGAGGGTGTCCAAGTATCTTGGCCAAACAGCGACCGTTGGGCTGCAATACTCGGCGGCGGCACAAAGGCGCCAAAAGGGCGCGGATGGTGTTGAACCCGGGCGTTTGTTCCTCACCGCCTACTCGGATGCTTCATATGCATCAGAACCAGAGGACATGACAAGTGTGGAAGGCTTCATATGCTGTGTTGGTGGAGGCCCAACTGCTTGGGAGAGCAAGAAGCAGGTTGACCAAGCTTTGAGCTCGGAGGAGTCCGAATACATGGCACTCTTCCGTGCCGTACGGGAGATTGTGTGGCAGCGGCGTTTGTTGGCTGAATTGGGGGAGGAGCAGCAAGGACCTACCCCACTGTATTGTGACAGCCAGGGTGCCATTGCTCTTGCTAAGAACCCTGTGTTGCATGGACTCACGAAGCACATGAGGGTGAAGTGGCATTGGACGAGGAGCATGGTAACCGCGGGTGAAGTTGAGTTGCGCTACGTGAAGACCACGGGGCAGCCGGCTGACATGATGACCAAGAGGCTGGTGGAGCAGCAGCATTGGAAGTGTTGCAAGCTGGCTGGGATGGCTCTGAACTGACAGAGCAACACATCCTAAGGCCAACAATCCGAGGGGGAGTTTGTTGGTGCAACCCTACGGTTTGCACTCGGCTTGTTGTCCGTGTGCGTGCATGTGTGTGTGTCTATGGAATGGTATGAGGGCATGGGATAATATATATTTAATGCTTATCATTGTGTGTGAATGTTGAGTCATGATGTCGAGTGTATGTGTCGAGTCAATAGCGAGTTATCGCTAGACGCGTGTTACGCGGTCGTTTGTGTCTCGCGCGCGGTTTCTATTTTGTCGTGCGCGGTTTCTCTTTTGTCCTGTGTCGAACGTTCGGTGTGTCGCAGGTGTGTGCAGCAGACCCATCAAGAACTCAAGGATAAGTTTGTGATGAAGAGCCGAGCCTTGGTGTCAATCCACAAGTGATTTCAAAGCTCGCCAAAAAGGGTACACCTCAAGATATTGAAGATAGTTACATTACTTTGTGTAGTGTAACATTTCACTTGGTGTAGGCCCTAGTGAAGGGTAGTTTCGAGACCCTTCGTGGTTGGGGACAGTGTGGCACTGTTCCACATCACTGTACCTCGGCTCTTGGGGTTTGTAGGAGCTGGGAGTCATTCCCAACTCGTAACTCTTCCTAACTCTTCCTATCTTGTGTTCTAAGACCATAGTGGCTGCCATAGTGCCGTTCGTTCAAACCAACCCTGTGTCGTCAATACCTGGTCAAATCGTGCGATCTAAATTGCCTATTGTAGGCGACAATAAGGCGCTCCAGATCCAAGTTGAATCAAGTCATTTGGAGCTGTGACCAAAACGTTATGAACGTTTGAAGCCGCTGTGCAGAAATCCGACTGTGCACTCTATCTTTCGTTTTAGGCACATTGGAGCCTACTGTGTCTATAACAGAATGGAGTGGGGTGATGGAAAGCAGGAGAATGGGGCGGGTGATGGAAAGCAGGTGAATGGGGCGGGGTGATGGAAAGCAGGAGAATGGGGCGGGGTGATGGAAAGCAGAAGAATAGGGCGGGGTGATGGAAAGCGGGAGATGGGGCGAGGTGATGGAAAGCGGGAGAATGGGGCGGGTGATGGAAAGCGGGAGAATGGGGCGGGGTGATAGAAGGAGGGAGAATGGGGAGGGGTGATGGAAAGCTGGTGAATGGGGCAGGGTTATGGAAATCAGGAGAATGGGGCGGGGTGATGGAAAGCGGGACAATGGGGCGGGGTGATGGAAAGCGGGTGAATGGGGCAGGGTGATGGAAAGCGGGAGAATGGGGCGGGGTGATGGAAAGCGGGAGAATGGGGCGGGGTGATGGAAGGAGGGAGAATGGGGCAGGGCGATCGAAAGCGGGAGAATGGGGCGGGGTGATGGAAAGCGGGAGAATGGGGCAGGGTGATGGAAAGCGGGAGTATGGGGCGGGGAGATGGAAAGCGGGAGAATAGGCTGGGGTGATGGAAAGTGGGAGAATGGGGCGGGGTGATGGAAAGCGGGACAATGGGGCGGGGTGATGGAAAGCAGGAGAATGGGGCGGGGTGATGGAAAGCGAGAGAATGGGGTGGGGTGATAGAAAGCGGGAGAATGGGGTGGGGTGATGGAATTCGGGAGAATGGGGCGGGGTGATGGAAGGAGGGAGAGGTGATGGAAAGCGGGGGAATGGGGCGGGATGATGGGAAGCGGGAGAATGAGGCGGGGTGATGGAAGGAGGGAGAATGGGGCGGGGTGATGGAAAGCGGGAGAATGGGGCGGGGTGATGGAAAGGGGGAGAATGGGGCGGAGTGATGGAAAGCGGGAGAATGGGGCGGGGTGATGGAAAGCGGGAGAATGGGGCGGGGTGATGAAAAGCGGGAGAATGGGGCGGGGTGATGGAAAGCAGGAGAATGGGGCGAGGTGATGGAAAGCGGGAGAATGGGGCGGGTGATGGAAAGCGGGTGAATGGGGCGGGGTGATGGAAAGCAGGAGAATGGGGCGGGGTGATAGAAAGCAGAAGAATGGGGCGGGGTGATGGAAAGCGGGAGAATTGGGCGAGGTGATGGAAAGCAGGAGAATGGGGCGGGGTGATGGAAGGAGGTAGAATGAGGCGGGGTGATGGAAGGAGGGAGAATGGGGCAGGGTGATGGAAAGCGGGAGAATGGGGCGGGGTGATGGAAAGCGGGAGAATGGGGTGGGCTGATGGAAAGCGGGAGAATGGGGCAGGGTGATGGAAAGCGGGAGAATGGGGCGGGGTGATGGAAAGTGGGAGAATGGGGCGGGGTGATGGAAAGCGGGAGAATGGGGCGGGTCGATGGAAAGTGGGAGAATGGGGCGGGGTGATGGAAGGAGGGAGAATGGGGCGGGGTGATGGAAGGAGGGAGAATGGGGCAGGGTGATGGAAAGCAGGAGATTGGGGCAGGGTGATGGAAAGCGGGAGAATGGGGCGGGGTGATGGAAAGCGGGAAAATGGGGCGGGGTGATGGAAAGCGCGAGAATGGGGCTGGGTGATGGAAAGCAGGAGAATGGGGCGGGGTGATGGAAAGCGGGAGAATGGGGCGGGGTGATGGAAGGAGGGAGACTCAGGCGGGGTGATGGAAGGAGGGAGAATGGGGCGGGTTGATGGAAAGCGGGAGAATGGGGCGGGATGATGGAAAGAGGGAGAATGGGGCGGAGTGATGGAAAGCAGGAGAATGGGGCGGGGTGATGGAAAGCGGGAGAATGGGGCGAGGTGATGGAAAGCGGGAGAATGGGGCGGGGTGTTGGAAAGCGGGAGAATGGGGCGGGGTGATGAAAAGCGGGAGGATGGGGCGGGGTGATGGAAAGCAGGAGAACGGGGCGGGGTGATGGAAAGCAGGAGAATGGGGCGGGTTATGGAATGCGGGTGAATGGGGCGGGGTGATTGAAAGCGGGAGAATGGGGCGGGTTGATGGAAAGCAGAAGAATGAGGCAAGGTGATGGAAAGCGGGAGAATGGGGCGAGGTGATGGAAAGCGGGAGAATGGGGCGGGGTGACGGAAAGCGGGAGAATGGGGCAGGGTGATGGAAGGAGGGAGAATGGGGCGGGGTGATGGAAAGCGGGAGAATGGGGCGTGGTGATGGAAAGCGGGAGAATGGGGCGGGGTGATGGAAAGCGGGAGAATGGGGCGGGGTGATGGAAAGCGGGAGAATGGGGCGGGGTGATGGAAGGAGGTAGAATGAGGCGGGGTGATGGAAGGAGAAGAATGTGGCGGGGTGATGGAAAGCGGGAGAATGGGGCGGGGTGATGGAAAGCGGGAGAATGGGGCGGAGTGATGGAAAGCGGGAGAATGGGGCGGGGTGATGGAAAGCGGGAGAATGGGGCGTGGTGATGGAAAGCGAGAGAATGGGGCGGGGTGATGGGAGAATGGGGCGGGGTGATGGAAAGCGGGAGCATGGGGCGGGGTGATGGAAAGCGGGAGAATGGGGCGGGGTGATGGAAGGAGGGAGAATGGGGCGGGGTGATGGAAAGCGGGAGAATGGGGCGGGGTGATGGAAAGCGGGAGAACGGGGCGGGGTGATGAAAAGCGGGAGAATGGGGCAGGATGATGGAAAGTGGGAGCATGGGGCAGGGTGATGGAAGGAGGTAGAATGAGGCGGGGTGATGGAAGGAGGGAGAATGGGGCGGGGTGATGGAAAGTGGGAGAATGGGGCGGGGTGATGGAAAGCGGGAGAATGGGGCGGGGTGATGGAAAGCGGGAGAATGGGGCGGGGAGATGCAAAGCGGGAGAAAGGGCCGGGGTGATGGAAAGCGGGATAATGGGGCGGGCTGATAGAAAGTGGGAGAATGGGCGGGGTGATGGAAGGAGGGAGAATGGGGCGGGGTGATGGAAGGAGGGAGAAGGGGGCGGGGTGATGGAAAGCGGGAGAATGGGGTGAGGTGATGAAAAGCGAGAGAATGGGGCGGGGTGATAGTATGCGGGAGAATGGGGAGGGCTGATGGAAAGCGGGAGAATGGGGAGGGGTGATCAAAGGAGGGAGAATGGGGCGGGGTGATGGAAAGCGGGAGAATGGGGCGGGGTGATGGAAGGAGGGAGAATGGGGCGGGGTGATGGAAAGTGGGAGAATGTGGCGGGGTGATGGAAAGCGGGAGAATGGGGCGGGGTTATGGAAAGCGGGAGAATAGGGCGGGGGTGACGGAAAGCGGGAGAATGGGGCAGGGTGATGGAAGGAGGGAGAATGGGGCGGGGTGATGGAAAGCGGGAGAATGGGGCGTGGTGATGGAAAGCGGGAGAATGGGGCGGGGTGATGGAAAGCGGGAGAATGGGGCGGGGTGATGAAAAGCGGGAGAATGGGGCGGGGTGATGGAAGGAGGTAGAATGAGGCGGGGTGATGGAAGGAGAAGAATGGGGCGGGGGTGATGGAAAGCAGGAGAATAGGGCAGGGTGATGGAAAGCGGGAGAATGGGGCGGAGTGATGGAAAGCGGGAGAATGGGGCGGGGTGATGGAAAGCGGGGAGAATGGGGCGTGGTGATGGAAAGCGGGAGAATGGGGCGGGGTGATGGGAGAATGGGGCGGGGTGATGGAAAGAGGGAGAATGGGGCGGGGTGATGGAAAGCGGGAGAATGGGGCGGTGTGATGGAAAGCGGGTGAATGGGGTGGGCTGATGGAAAGCGGGAGAATGGGGCGGGGGTCATGGAAGTAGGGAGAATGGGGCGGGGTGATGAAAGCGGGAGAATGGGGCGGGGTGATGGAAAGTGGGAGAATGGGGCGGGGTGATGAAAAGCGGGAGAATGGGGCGGGGTGATGGAAGGAGGGAGAATGAGGCGGGGTGATGGAAAGCGGGAGAATGGGGCGGGGGTGATGGACGGAGGGAGAATGGGGCGTGGTGATGGAAGCGGGAGAATGGGGCGGGGTGATGGAAAGCGGGAGAATGGGGCGGGGTGATGGAAAGCGGGAGAATGGGGCGGGGTGATGGAAAGCGGGGAGAATGGGGCGGGGTGATGGAAGCGGGAGAATGGGGCGGGGTGATGGAAAGCGGGAGAATGGGGCGGGGTGATGGAAAGCGGGAGAATGGGGCGGGGTGATGGAAAGCGGGAGAATGGGGCGGGGGTGATGGAAGGAGGTAGAATGAGGCGGGGTGATGGAAGGAGAAGAATGGGGCGTGGTGATGGAAAGCGG